GCTAACAATCTATTCTGACGCTCCAGTGAAGTACCTGGGAACCTCCACATTATCAGAGGTGCCTTACATCGAGACAATAAACCTGTTTGCCCATTCAGGCGGAGATTCAAAAAAATCCCATTATATTGTTCGAGAATAGAAGGGAGTCTCTCCCAGTATCTGAAGAATAACCCACAGGATAAATTGATCATTCAATTCAAGGCTATTTTCACAAGCTCACTGAGCAGAGCACCTTCATTGGGTCTTAGAGAAATTCTGCCAAGATTTGCTTCCCTAGATTGCTATTGCGTGGACTTTGGGTGAAGATGGTCTCCAGTTTGCTTTGATAATAATAGTAATAATAATCCTTGCATTTGATATAGCTCCTTATCACATCTTCTAGACGTCTCAACGCGCTTCACAGAATATAATGTAAAGTGAATTGACTGTAATTTTGTGGGTGAAACTCGGCAGACAATTGCACACAGCAATTTGTGCGTCCCACAAACAGTCGTGGATTAAGTGACCAATTTATTTTTATTTGTTTTGAAAGAAATAATTACCCCCGGAAAAGCGATTCACCATTCGACTAACAACTGGATTCCGACTTACTGTTAGGGAAACAGAGGCGTGTGAAGTAAGGAAACCTGTCCAACGTTTTACTCTGCCAGGACTCGAACCCAGATCCTCTCGTTGCGAGGCGAATGCTCTAACCACTGAGCTACAGGACTCTATAGGAGCCCATGGTTCAAGTTCTTGTGAAAACCCACCGTCCAGGCTACTGTAAAGAACATCAACTGGAGGTCACCGTCCGGCCATGCATAGAATCATTAAACAAGCGTGCCTGACTTAATAACAGGATATGACCAAGTAATTTTATGCAGAGGAAATGACAGGCACTCAGGTTGTAGCGAGGCTGAAACAAATTGTGGACTTCTTGGCTTTGTAAATATTTACTGTAAAGTTGGAATATTCGACAGTTTGCTTCAGCCATAATTTTACGAGTTTTATTTTACAATTCATTTTACAACACGGGGCGTGTTGCTTCTGACATGTAGTAAGTATGAGAAATTGTTCACATTTTGGAAGACGGGCAACTACAAACTGACTGACTGATTTTTATATTTTTGTTAGCCAGGGTGTCAGGAGAAATTCCTTTCTCTTTCCAAATTTTATCAGGTTATTTACAAGTGCAATCGAGCAGGCGGACAGGACTTCAGGTTATCGACCCCTCAGTCGGATAGCACCTCTGTCAGTGCAGCACTCCCCCAGTACTGCACTGGAATGCCAGCCTAGCGTGTGAACTCGAAGTCCTGGTGGTGTGAGAGTGCTGCCAATTGAACCAACCTATTGCAGGATCCATGAATGAATTTGCAAAGAGTGAATAGTCCTGTGTGTACCTGTATGGATGTGTTAAACTGGCCTCCACGCGAGTTGGTCTTTGCAAATCCTGTACGAATCCTGCGAGCTTAATAACCTCCATCGCGTTTGCTTTTTGATATATTTGAAAGAAGTGATTTCTATATCCCCGTGCTTCTGGAACTCCCTGCCTTAATCCCTCCAACTCACTTACCCTCCTTAACCCCTTCAACGTAGTCTTTGGACACCTCTTTCTCCTTTGCTTAGCATCCAATCTGCAGTGCTCTGAGACGCTATCCTGTGTGAAAGGTGTTGTGTAAATGCAAGTTTTTGTTGTCTCTCCAGTTTACAGGCTTTCGGCTCTCACATAAATCTCATTGTTAAAAGTTCCAAATTCATTTTATAAAATGAGATTAAAATTCTATGTTTTTTAAACTTAAAAAATGTTTGAAACTAATATCTGCCAAACTGAGCAAATCTAAATATCAACACGAGTCTTAGACATCGGTGGCTGTCTTTGATGATTGACGTTCTTTTAGCATTTTAGGCATGAGGCACTGTGTAAAGCTATTTTATACCCTGCTTTTTAAAAAAAAATGCCTTGTGTGATAGACATGAGAGCATTGCTCTTCCAGATGAAATATGAGCTTGTGCTGAACGTTACAGGAGGTTTGAGATAACGCAGCAGGGTTGCTGGTACTCTGCTGAAAGGTTTATTTCATACATACGAAACTGCGAGAGTATGTGCATTTTTATAGCGCCTTATCTCATCAATAGTTTCAGAGGACGTCAAGAAATTACTTTCAAGTGTAAAGTCCTTTCGAAGATAAAATAGTTAAAAATGCAGCAAGAAGGGCTCCAACCATCACAGCGGCCTCCAAGTGAATTGCTGATGGTAAATCCTGCTCGGATCCTGTGTTCGGGAATATCGAACACCTTGGCTGCTCTAAAGAGGAGTGGGCTCCATGCACACATTGGGAAGAGAATGATTGACACAACAATAGTAGTAATAATAATCCTTGCATTTGATATAGTGCCTTATCACGTCATTCAGACGTCTCAAAGAGTTTCACAGAATATATTGGAAAGTGAATTGACTATTTTGTGGGTGAAATGCAGCAGCCAATTGTGCACGTCAGTGACCCACAAATAGTCATGCGTCGATAGATCAACACTTACTTTTGCCTTCCTAGGATGCATGAGTCTCATGTGGAATGTGAGAGGTAGCAGTGTGAGAAACGGTGTTTGATTATGAAATGCTGAATGTGTTGGGGGGCGGTGGGTAGCAGCAAAAGAGGCCGAATTGTGACGTCCATAAACCTAATTTGTTGTCTGTGTGAAATTTGGGAAACCAACGTTGGCAAAGAAAAGCCTGTGAGCCAAACGGCGGCAGGACAGGGCTCGCTGAGCTTTTGTCAGGATTTGCCAATCTCTCGCGAACTGGAATTTGCCATCTAGAGGCTGTGAATCAGATTTGCGATCATGCAAATTACACCCTGACATGAGTCAAGTCAGGAAAGCGAGCCAGAGCACAGGTTTGATGCTGACTCGGAGATGTCTCATCAGAGGCTGTGACTGTTCTCACTAGTGTTTAAGGGCTTGGCGTTCAGCACCATCCTGTGGGATTTGGTAGTGTTCCTGCTCCAGCCTTGCCGTGATCTGACGACAAAGCTTGCTGGCTGTGAACTTGATTGTTTTCACATCATAATAATAATCTTTGCATTTAATTTAGCACCTTATCATGTCGTTGAGACGTCTCGAATCGCTTCACAGAATATATTGTAAAGTGGAGCGACTGTATATTTTGTGGGAGAAACATAGCAGCCAATGTTTCACAAACACTCATGCTTGAGAGAGAGCGAGAGAGAGAGAAAATTAGAAAAACCGAAAGATGGAGAAACGCAGGGGAAAAAATTCAGAGCTATATTATGTAAAATACATGGCTCTTGAGCTCTCAGAACTGCTTTTCCCTTATTGTAGCCCTTGCATAAGCCCGTGACCATTGCTGAAGTCCTTCCCTCACGCTTCCTGCTGCTGAAAGCCACTTTCGCATCTTCAGCTGTTGAATAGACTTCTCCGATGCTCCCGTTAACTGCAGCCCTAATTTTACTCTCCACAAGCTCCAACTCTCTTCATAGGGGCAGACACGTGGCAAATGACATTTAATTTGGATAAATGTGAAGTTATGCATTTTGAGGAAGAATGAGGAGAGGCAATATAAGCTGATGGTACAATCTTAAAGGGTGTGAAGGAACAGAGAGACCTGGGGGTACATATAAGTAAATGTTCGAAGATGGCAAGACAGGTATGGGATACTGGGCTTCATAAATAAGGGCATAGAATACAAAAGTCAGGAAGTTATGATGAACCTTTATAAATCACTTGTTAGGGCTTAGCTAGAGACTGTGTTCAGTTCTGGGCTTTAAGAAGGATGTCAAGGCATTGGAGAGGATGCAAAGGAGATTTACCAGAATGGTACCAGGAATGAGGGCCTCCAGTTATCAGGAGAGGCGAGAGAAGCTGGGATTATTCTCCTTGGAGCAGAGAAGGTTAAGAGGAGACTAAATAGAAGTTTTCAAAATGATGAGGGGATTCGATAGGGTGAACAGGAGAAACTATTCCCACTGGCGGGTGGGTCAGTAACCCGAGGGCACCCATTTAAAACAGTTGTTAAAAGAAACAGAGGAGAGGTGAGGAGAATTTTTTTCACACAGCAAGTTGTTCGGATCTGGAATGCATTGGCTGAAAGGGTGGTGGAAGCTGATTCGATAACAACTTTTAAGAGAGAAGTAGATAATTATTTGGGGAGGACACGTTTGCAGGGCTATGGGGAGAGTGCGGGGGAGTTGATTAATTGATCAATTGAAGAGATTGATTTGGATAGCTCTTTTCAAAGAGCCGGCACAGACATGATGGGCTGAATGGCCTATCTCCTATGCTTCTTCCTCACCAGGTTCCACACTCGTTGGGCACCACAGGCTCCTGAGTACACCGACAGGACAAGACTCTGAAATAACTCCCTTTGCAGTCGGGACATTGCTACTTACACTCTTGCTTCCAGCCCCACTCTCATGCTCATAGCTTCCCAATCTGGTACATTGTTCACTGAGCCTTCTGGCACCACAACCCTGGTCTATACCCCTAATTGCCTTGCTTCCTCTCTTCCCCCCACTCCCTGACACACAAAACATTTGTTTGACCATGCTGTGGTCATCGTCTTTGACTCTTCCTGCTCTGTGCACCTTATCATCATTAATTATTGAGATAATAATATGTAAAAGACGCTACATAAGTGCAAGTCCACACGAGTTTGCAAAGAGTCTCCAAACCAAACTGAGAATTCCATACATCCCAAATCCCAGCGATAAATTGTTGCAATGGAATGCACACTATCTCCCTGAAGGGATGTACCCTGCTTATCTAATTCAGGAGAGTATTAGGCGCAGGTTGGTAAGAGCCAAGGCTTGGGGACTCCAGAGTATGTGTTGGGGGTAACAACTGGAGTCTAACCAGCTACTTAATTTTGAAACAGACACAAAACCTCAGTGGGGTCAGCAAACAGAGTGAATGTTTCTAGCAGCTCAAAGGCCAGAGATTGTGTGATGAGAATCGGCAGCTGTTCATTCTGTATAAGTGTGTGTTTATTTTCTGTTTGCATTCAGATCCTCAAGACGACAATAAAATAGGAATCGACGGTATACAGCAGTTCTGTGATGACTTAGGATTGGATCCAGCCAGTATTAGTGTGCTGGTCGTGGCATGGAAGTTCCGAGCAGCCACTCAATGCGAGTTCACAAAGCAAGAGTTCATAGACGGTATGACAGAGCTAGGGTAAGTAAAGTCAGCGGGAGGCCCTTTAAAAATACAGACTGATGGATCAAATGTTCATAATCGCTTTTAATAATAATCCTTGAATTTGATACAGCGCTTTTTCACGTCTTCTAGACGTCTCAAAGCACTTCACAGAATATACTGTAAAGTGAATTGACTACATTTTTGTGGGCGAAACGCGGCAACAATTGCGCACAGCAGTGTCCCACAAATGATCATGGATTGAAGTGATCAAATTATTATTGTTTTTTTTTCTTGAGGGATTATTATCAGGCATGTGGAGTAAGGAAACTTGCCCAAGGTTTCACCTGCCAGGAATCGAACCCAGGTCTCTCACTTGTGAGACGAATGCTCTAACCACTGAGCTACAGGACTTTTGAATTGTACCAATCATCAGAGTTCCAATTAGATTAATTCACCCAGTGGTCATTTTTTGTGGGGCGAAAGAGAGTTGTTACGGTCTGGAATGCACTCCCTAAAAGGGTGGTGGAAGCTGATTCACTAACAACTTTTAAAAGGGAATTGGAATAGGTACGTGAAGAGGAAAAATTTGCAAAGCTATGAGGGAAGAGCGGGGGAGTGGGACTGATTGGGTAGCTTTTCCAAAGAAAAGCAAAAAGAAAAGATCACAAGCACGATGGTCTGAATGGCCTCCTTCTGTGCTGTAATATTCTATGATTATATGAAAGTACTTTGAGAATGAGTTCTGTTCAGTTGAAATCACTGGTAAATGTGGCTGTCAACAGAACAGGGTAGTCCTTATGCAGATAAGGGATTCAAAGAACATAGTGGTTAACCTTCTCTTTGCGTCGTCTGAAGGATGACACCTCCAACAATGCAGTGCATTGGTGTGTGAGCGTAGACTATATATAAATCAAGGCTGACATTGCGATTTTATTGGACTAAAAGCAAATGGAAAGTAGCAATTTAATCATCTAATGAAAAGATTTTGGGAACTTTTCTAAATGGTGAAATATGGTGAAATTCCAATTGTGTGGCCCATGTTTATTAGGCTGAGTGTTCACAAAGTCCTGTTACCCCCATGTTAAGTAACCACATATATTTTCTATATATATATATATATATATATATAAAGTGATGGACATCTGAAATCATGCATTATTTTATGATGGATAATTGAGATTACCCATTGGGCTGTTGTTATCCACGCATTGTATTGGGAGAAAAAACTATTGAGGCATTCTATTAAAAGGCTAGAAAATAATCTATCTTTATGTGGGGGTGGGGTAAGAAGGATTTTACGAGCTGCTGGATATTAGATAAGAATGAAATTTTTTCCACCCCCACCCTGAATTTTTCTTTGTGATTAAGGTGTGACAGCATAGAAAAACTGAAAGTCCTCCTGCCTAAGTTGGAACCAGAGTTAAAAGATCAAGGAAAATTTAAGGATTTTTACCAGTTCACGTTCAACTTTGCAAAGAACCCCGGCCAGAAGGGGTTAGGTAAGTGCTTAGATGAGTTTCCCTTTCAGGAAAGTGTGCGGTTCTGTTGAGGAGGTAATCTAACGGCACTGGAGACTGATATCCTGATCTGGGATTACTGTGGTTGCTTCCAAGTAATGCTGACCTGGCTAAATAGTGGAAAACACTATTTATAGTCAGTGGAAGGCAGTAAAATAGAAACCTCCTCGCTTAGCCTGGTAACTCATGAGACATGTCATTGGTATTAGTTTGTCCTGCCTCTCTTTCTCTCACACACACACACACACACACACAATTTACATCATGATTCAGAAGGAGATGCTTTATGTACAGGATAACCATACATATACACATACAGGATGACCTGTATCGTTCCCCCTCCCCCCACCAGTACAAAACTGATAGGAGGCTATGGAGGAGCTGAAACAAGATCAAGATGTCAGAGATACGTTTCACCTCCTCACTCCATTCATGTTCCGGAAGATGTGGCAGCAAACATGGTGACGGATCATTATCTGACATAAAAATGATGGCGCTCACTCTCGCACGTGCACACTCATACTTGCTCACACTCACGTGCGCACACTCTCACGCGCTCTCACACGCAGATCCCTGGATGTCTAATTAGTGAAACACTTTTACTGAATACAATGAAGAAACTTCTAAATACATTCATCATCATACGTTTCAGTTTGTTGGTTGGTCAGTGCAGTGTAGAAAAAAAACATGGGGGTAACAGGACTTTGTGAACACCCTATACAAAAAGCCTATTGGGCTTATTGTGAAAGGCTGACCATACCTTTGTTTGGTAGTTGTATAGTTTTGAGTGCGAGTATTGTATAATCAAAGTGAGAGAGTGTGAATGCGCGCGTGTGAAAGAGAGAGAACCTGTAGTATCCTGAATGTAGCTCCATCTGCTTTTGGTTTAGTTTTTGTTGCAACTTCTATAACCATTTCTCACCCCCACCCCACCCATCATCACCATCAGTCCTATGTGACCCAGAATAAACAAAGCCAGAACTCTGAAACCAACAACTGTGCAGACAGAGCCAGACCAGATATTCCTAGTGTAGAGTGTGGTAGATGCAGTAAATAGTTGACCAACCTGAAACTGTTTCTCAGAGCCAGTGTGAAGAGAAAGAATGTGTGCAGCCTTCCAATGCTCTCTGTTCCCTTGTGATACCCAGGCCCGTCTGCCGTGTTTTTTTTGGAAGAATTGGCAAATATATCTAATGTAGCTTGAGTTAGGAAAGGTACCTTACTGATTAAAGCAGTTTGTCTTCACTGTTGCCTTTTGTGCCGTTCACCTAAATCTTAGCATCTGGCAATAAATTACTTCTCTAAAGGGACAGTAACATTTTCTCTTCAGGATAACATTGACTTTCTCTCTCCCTCCACCTCCCCTTAGTGCAATGAGCATATGTGCTATTTCTTAATCCAGGGCATTGAGACCCATTGCTAGTGTTTTGGCCTGTGACACCTGGTTTGCTTGTCGCTGCAGCACAGGATATGAAGTACTAAACCAGACGCAAGTTCATTATTCTGAGTTAAAAGATAAAAAAAATTATATATAAAAATTTTCTGTACAAGCAATGATGCCAACAAGTCTACAGATATCAGCCCTAATGGCACTTAGGAATTAATGAGGTTCAGGAAATTGGGCGACTTCTAGCAAGCCTGGAATTACTGCCCGTCAAATATTCTGGAGTGATTCATACTTGACATCTCAGCTCCCTTTCTAAGGACTGAGCATTTTTCTGAGGGAATAATGTTAACCAGCCTGTTGTGATCCAAGTCTCCCCAACAGTTACCTGCTTTACAGATGCCTCAACAGGCAGTTGCTTTGTTTCAATTAGTTTGAACGGCACTGACTCAAGACAGGCCCAGATTGTAGGAGACTTTATTATAAAATCTGTTTGTTGTAAATCCCGAGTGGGAAACATTCCGAGGTGATGTTCTCTCCACTGTTGTTGACAATCATCTGCACTATGGTGGTGATTGGGTCTCTGTGCTCTGTTTCAGATTTAGAAATGGCAATCGCCTACTGGAATTTAGTACTTGCCGGCCGATTCAAATTCTTAGATCTATGGAATAAATTTTTATTGGTGAGTGTTACTGTTTTTATTGCCTGAGTGTTACTGATTGGGTCTGGTTTTTGCTCTGTAAAGTCTTTTAACTTGTTAGATTTTAAATTCTAGAGGCACCTCTTCCTCCGCCTCTCCCCCCGAGCAAGGGTGGGGAAAGGTTCTGTTCCTGGGAGGGGGTGGTGGTCCCTGTCTCAGGTTTGACTGGCCAGGATGTCACAGGTTCAAATTCCATTTACCATGGGAAGGGATTGGATTTGGCTGGGACTCCTTTTCTGCTCCTTCCCACCCACAGACGAACACCGACTACATAAGGGTGACATTTGGATAATATCTCTCAAAAACATACGGTCACTTCACTTTACAGAGCATCCTCTGAGGCTTCTTGATGACGTGATAAGGCGCTATATCAAACGCAAGGATTATTATTGTTGTTATGGGAATAATTGTGGCAGCCAGAGATGGTGTCGATTGTTCAATTCCTTTGTAAGATTGAGGGGGAGAAGGCGGGGGAGATGAAGCTTGTTGTGGCTTATTATTAAAGGTGGTTGTCCCTGTTTTCAGGAACATCATAAAAGATCAATACCGAAGGACACCTGGAATCTCCTGCTAGACTTCAGCTCTATGATTGCTGATGACATGTCAAATTATGACGAGGAAGGTATGTTACCTCATCTAACTGGCTGAGGGTAATGTCAGCCTGTCTGTTGGTCTCTCTCTCTTTCTCTCTGCTGGGCCAGATGATATCCTGTAGCATAGTGGTTAGAGCACTCACCTTGCAAGCAAGAAGAACCGGGTTGAATTCCCGGGCGGGCTTACTCCACATGCCAGTTTACCTACCAGTAAGTAGGAACCCGGTTGTTATTAGATTGGCGGAATCACTTTTCCAGGGGTAATAATTCCTTCAAAATAAATTTAAAAAATAATTTGGTCACTCAACCCACGACTGTTTGTGGGACACTGCTATGCGCAATTGGCTTCTGTGTTTCACACAAAATACAAGGTGAATTCACTTTACAGTATCTTCTGTGAAGCGCTTTGAGATGTCTCGAAGACGTGATGAGGCGCTATATCAATTGCAAGGATTATTATTACTCCACATGCCTCAGTTTACCTTGCAGTAAGTAGGAACCGAGTAGGTTGTTAGGCAATTGGTGGATCGCTTTCTGGGTAATAATCCCTTCAAAAAAATAATAATTTGGTCACTTAATCCACGACTATTTGAAGGAAACTGTGTGCAATTGGCTGCCGGGTTTTGTCAATTCACTTTACAGTATATTCTGTGAAGCGCTTTGAGATGTCTCAACCACGTGATAAGGCGCTGGGTCAAATGCAGGGATTATTATTGTTATTATTATACGATTGTGGGCCTCAAACTCCGCTTTGCGTTGAGCTCACAGCTCAGACTGATGCTCCATTTCCTGGCAGAGCACTGCATTTTCAAAGGTGTTATCAGTTGGATGAGTCAGTCTGCTCAGGTGGATGTTTAAGACCCAGTGGTTATTGGAAAAGAGAAACGATTTTCTCCCCGTGTCCTGGATAATCTGCTGTTCACCTTGTTAATGTTTGTGTGGCCTTGCTGTGCGCTGATACCGTTTGCTGTGTTTGTCTGCAAAGGCAGTCACGGCACCACTTGGCAGAGGTTATCTGTAAAGTGCTTTTCAGCATTGTAAAGGATGATGATAATCCTTGCATTGCTACAGCGCTTCATCACGTCATTGAGACGTCTGATAACGCTTCGCAGAATACACTGTACAGTGAATTGACCGTGTATTTGTGGGCAAAACACAGCAGCCAATTGTACACAGCAGCGTCCCACAAACAGTGGTGGATTGAGTGACCAAATTCTTATTATTATTTCGGGGAGGGATTATAAAATATAACCGGCAAATAAGACAATACTGTGTCAGGCAATAACATACATACCACACACGTCATATAACCGCTCGCTTACTTGCACAATCTGGGACAGAGTTAGAAGCCTCTTGACATTTACGTTTCATTCCTGTATAGTAGAGCGCCTTATAAAGGAAAAGGGATGAAAAGTTCCGTGGTGGGACCCTGCAGTGGGGCTGATATTCCCAAATGAAAGGATTACAGCTGATAATGACACAATGCAACCTTCTCATGTGTTTCAGGAGCGTGGCCAGTGCTTATTGATGACTTTGTGGAATTTGCACGTCCACAAATCACTGGGACAAAAAGTACTACAGTGTAGCATTGAGGAACCTTGTCGCAGGATGTATGTACATGATGTGTACAGAATGGAAACTTCAACAAATAATGCACAGTCATTTCACATTTAGTTAATAAAATGCAGATCAACGGATTGAAGTGAAGATCAATCCTTTTTTATTTTATCCCGAGGGTTGATAACACCAAAAAAAAGGACTTTTCTTCGATCGTATCCATTCATTTAAAAATGGTGGTTTGGGCTTCTGTCTATAGTCAGGACCTCTCTGTAATTTCATCAGCAAAATGAGTGTGAGTTTCATCTGTATGCTCTTTGGGATCCTGTACCATTCATCTTCTATCAATTTGGAAAGACTTTCCTGAAAGGATAAAGTTAAACGGTGCTTTTTTTTTGTTTGTTTGACATCGTTAAAAAAAAGCACGCCCTCGCAGTCTTCGTTTGGGAAGGAACCCGAGCGTTGGATCAGCGGACACCTGGAATGGCTGGTTTAGCAGTGGAATGGAAAACCTTGATGTGATCTTAGTACTTTTTAAATTATGTAAACGGGGCAGGTTGAACCAATACAAAAAAAATGTTGCTTTAGCTAATCTCTCAGCTATTTCTTATTCGTATACGGCAGGCTGCTTTGTCACAGTGTCTTACTTTGCTTTCCCATGAAGACTGTGGTCATACTGTGCCTACGGAAGAAGATTAGCTCTACCTGCTACATGACACCGGAGTGACGTAACTCCAGACACCAGACTTGTGGTATTTGCTGTTTGTTTTCTCTCTCTCTCTGACAGTTGAAGTATTGGGAGTTTATTCCCTCCCTCCCTCCCTCCCTCCCTCCCTCCCACCACCACCCCCTTCCCTCCCACCCACTCCCCACCCATTCACTCTTCACCCATTCACTCTTCACTGACGCCGGCACCCATCTCTGCTGTTCTGTGTCGGGTGTAGGACTCGAGGAAGCTTTCCCTCGTCTCACTGTTCGGGTGCCTGATTTTTACATCTCGGCTACAGGGGACAGTTTCCCCCCCCACTTCACCCAGTGCCAGGAGGTATCTGTCCCGTCCCCTCCTTTCTACACCTGAAATATCTTGAAACTAAGAGGTTTAGCTTTTCTGCTGTGGACTAAGATGAACGACCTAGGTTTAGTTTGTGTCCCTCCAAATCTTCCCAGTAAGAGACCGAGAGTTTTTAGTGTTGATTTGAGGCTGTGCAGATCCCCCCCACCCCCGTTCTTTACTATTTTTCTAACAGCCGTGAAGAATGAAACTCAAAACAGTGCAGTTGTGTTACTGAAAACCTCCATCTAGACCTTGCTATCTCAAAGATGTTTTTATATATATATATAATATATATATAGTAAAAAAAAGTCAAGTCCAAGATGATCTGTGCTTTCCCTCCCCTCCCCACCACCCCACACCCTTTCTCCCCCCCACAAAAAACATACTCCCGCACCTCACTTCACAAGTCCTCTGTGTGTCGGAGTGGGACGTTTTGAGTTGAACCTGGCGGGTGCAATGGACACTGGAGGGGAGATTCGCCGTTGTTTCTGTGGGCGTGAAATGGATTGTTGGTGTTTTAAGAGCTTTTGCTATATTTTTATCGGTCGTTACTTTATTAAACGTTGAATATATAAAGTGTCACTGCCCCTTCAGAGCTACAGGTGAGTGGTGAAAGCGAGAAGAACTGAATGTTTGAAACAAGTGAGAGTTTTTTTTCCCCTCCTCAAAAAAAATTACCAAGATAAAAGTTTGGTTCAAACTGTTTTATGAATCTGCCTGGTTAAGCGTTATCCAAACCTGCTAAGGTTCTGCATTACGGTGGTGTGTTGATCAAATGATGATTAATCTGGTGATAACTCAGACCTGAGAGGGGTTTAGAGGATTTAGAGTCAATAGGTAAGTCGGTTTCTGTTACATATCCTTGATCAGTGGATTCACTGCTAAAGGCTTGTATGCCTGTGACCTGTCCTCACCTCAGACTTTTTTTTATTTAAAAAGAAACAAACACTGTTTATCAATAAACATCTTAATTTATAGGTATCTTGCTGTGGCACTGACATCGCACGCAGCTCGTTTGCTGCTTGTACAAAATCCTGACGTGAACCCGTCCAAATGTCTCTCTCCCTTCCCATCCCGTGGGAAACACACCTCTGTTCAGGTTCCACAAATGAGCAAAAATATTACACCTTCCATTCAGTGTTAACACCTCTACTTTTTATTACGTTTTCACTCGGCGGATTACTTGACAGCACACTATTTAAGGGGGAGAGGGGGGAGTTGATGGTGCTCTAATTTGCGATATTTCTTAAGAGGATTCTGAGTTGCTTAAATAATGGGACAGGGAGAGAGGGGGAGGGAGGAAGTATTCCTTCCAATAATTAGCAGTGAATCACACCGATAACAACCTATTTCTATGTTGACAGAAAATATCCCTTCAAGGATCCTGCTAAGAAATCACGCAAACTAAGCTACCGATAATTTAAAAAGAAAAAAAGCTTTCTCCTCTCTTCCCCCCCCCCCCCCCCCCCCCCCAACCTCCTCCCCAACACCAACAATGGTGTAAATATCTGGTTTTGAAAACTTGAAAACTACCTTGTGTAGCTCAGAGCTGAGCGCAGTATAGGCTAGCTATATATATATATATATACACACACACACATACATACACCGTGGAAGCTGCTTTAGCCGGACGCCTGGTATATCGACCCTGATTGTCCGGCTTAAGCAACTACCACTTCATATATATATATATATATATATATGTAGAAAAGCTTTAGACATTGTGTTCTGCAACTTGACTCTAGTTGAACCTGGTGAAAACCCATTGCCTTTAGTTTGATACCGATTGGATTCTATTCAGTACTTCTCTTTTTCGACGATCCTTTATGATAGATGACCTGATAAGAGCAACACATAAGCACCTGCCTGACTGTAAAAAGCCGCTTCCTACCCTCTTTTCCTCACTTTATCTTTGTCCATCAAAAACTTTTTTTCCCCTTTTTAAACAAAATTGGGGGGGGTGGGGGGGAATAATATTTTTCCCCTTCCGAGGCACATGGTACATTTTAAAGTGCATTTCTACTGTTTTAAGGTTTTATTTTGACGACGCACAGAGCAAGTCACTGCGATTTTGTGTATGTGGAGATTCTCAGAACTATTTATTAATGCTCCCACAGATGGAATGAAACAGGACAGAACCGTTCAAAAAAAAACCTTTGTTATTATTATTGTGCAGGTTTCCTTTAGGTTTATACTGGTTTATACAGTAACTTGTGGAAAGAAGATGATCCCATAAGTCCCATTGAGTCCTTCGCACATCTTAAGATTGGAAGAATTTCAGTGGACGAGGCTTAGCTGTTAAGACGAGGCTAGAACAATGACCCAAGTTTAGGTATTTGTTTTCTTTAAAACAAACTAGTTACCTCATGTTTGATCTTGGCTATGACTTGAGTTTAGGTACCACTAACAATAAATTGGTCACTTCAATCCAGGACTGGATTGCTGTGCGCAATTGGCTGTCGTGTTTAACCAACAAAATATAGAGTCAAATCACTTTATATTCCGTGAATGGCTTTGAGAAGTCTCAACATGATAAGATGCTATATCAAATGCAGGGATCATTATTATTACTAGTAATGCAACCTTTTTTTTTATTAAAGGTCATACTTAAAGAAGAAACTTGCCTTTTTAAAGCTGTAGATTGTGATTCCTTACTCACCAATGACACCGGCCCTGTTATTTCCATGCCGACTGCTTTTAACAGCAAAGAAGCCTCATCTGCCTGTTAAGATGGATGTATATTACGGATCCCATGACTGTTTAAAAACTCCAGGGAGGTTTTCTCCTGTGGTCCTGGTCAACAATTCCCCCAGATATCATTCGTTGCTCACCTTGTGGCTGATTCGCTGGTGTAAATATGTTCTGCATTTGCCTACAAAAACAGGCATTATGCTTGACAGTAATTACCTGCAAATTGCTTCCGCTATATTTTTAAAGAAACGTTTTATGAAGTGGCTGGAGAGGTCAAAATTGACTCCTTATCCCACCGCTGTTCCCTTTGTTGAATTTATGGCTCGCTAATCATTGAAGTGATGGCATTTACCAATTAGTTACAGCTTTCTCTGGAATAGGCATTTCTTTGTATGACATTTTTACTCCCACCGCCAACCACCCCCCCACCCCGCCCACCCCAAGGCTGAATCTCTTTCAAAGAGTATTCGGTTACAAAACTTTGCTTCACGTCTTCCTGAGAAACTAGTCAAGTGTCAGAATGATGTAGGAATATGTCCACAAAAAGGCCAACTCACTTGAGTAAGGGAGAGAAAAAAATAAGGGGTAATGGATTGGTGAATAACTAATTGACATTTAGTTCTTAAATAGTTCTTAAGAGAAGTTGCCCGAAAGCTTTATTCTCAGCTCTTTCCCCCTCGATTCAACCAGCCTCCTTTCCCATCGACTCCCAGGTGAACGTTTCTACTTGATTTTGAAAGAGAAAGTCTTCAGCTTTCACCCGACAGAAGCTATCTGCAGAATGTTCTCATGAACACCCATGGCGTGTGTGTGGACACACAAAAAAAAATCATCTGCATGTAATATTTCCAGTGAATGCAAAAGGTACTTAACCACGTAGCATGCATTCTCACACGACTCAGCGAGGTCGGATGAGTAAAAAAATGCACTAGAAGTTTTTTTTTAAATTATCAGCAAACCAAAATATTTTCGATTCGTTCCTTGCAACTGTTGGCTGGTGTATTTGTGAATTAACTTGATGTAGCCATCTCATTTATAACTAGTGAGGTGTTCCTCCAGCTCTCAATCTGCTTGTCACTAGTTCTCCATCCCCTGCCCCCAACATCACAGCAATCACTAACCCAAGTGGGGATCTGTTAGTAAACTTTCCTTTGTTTTGCTTTTCAACTTAACTAACCGCTCTCATCATGCTGGCCTCTTTCTCTTCACTTTTGGGCAGTATTTAATTTTGAGTTCTGACGGAAGGTCATCAACCTGAAAGGTTAACTCATTTTCCTCCCCATAGATGGTGCCCGACGTGTTCTCAGCGACTTCTGTTCTCATTTCAGATTTCCGGCATCTGCAGTATTTTGCCTTTTGTTTGAGGGTTTGGTTTTACTCACTAACTCGCTCTGTGGTGGGGCCTGAATCCTCGCCCGCTGTGTGTCGGAGAACAAGACGGTGTGTATGTATGTGTGTATAGATACACGCGCACACCATCTGTTTTAAGAGTTGCTGGTGCAATTCTGTTTTAACAACTGCATTGAATTCACTGGGTGTGCGAAATGGTTTTCATTTGGACATGAAGATCATTGTGACTGTACCATTTTGGTTTTGGTTTCAATTCCAATTCTTTTTTTTAAAAAAAGCTACGTACTGGTGAATGAGATGGAATAAAATAAACCCATGGGGTGTGTGTCACTTGCATAGATCAATGGTGTTGAACTTAACGCAAAAAAGTACTGTTTTCTTCATTTTAATACTTTTTAAAATTCTCAGTTTGAGGCAGGTGGAACATTTACACAATATTCATCTACGTTTCTTTTTAAACTCTTTAAATTGTTATCTTCCCCAGGTTAAAATGACTTAATGGACACTTAAACATGGTTCAGTTAAAGATATGTAAAACCATAGGCTTTATTCAAAGGAAACCCAGATATTTGTAGCTACTATTCCATTGCAGAATCATCTGCAATGTTTCTATAGTGTGCCATAAACAGCCTCTCATTGCTTTGCACAACTTGGCTGTGTATCTTTTTGCCCTGTCTGTTCACAGCCACGATCTTGAATGTGTGAAGACTGGATAAGCCCTTTCTATTCCTTTTTTGGGTGGTGTGAGGGTGAGTGGAGAGAATTGATCGGAGAGGTTTGCTTAATCGAAACACTTTTTTAGCTGTAAAGTCTTCATCCATTTGGTCGCGGAGGCAGGGCCACCAGTATTGTAACTCAAGCCAAACCTAGTGCTTTGTACGTACTGCAATTCTGTACACTTGTAGGTAGTAAATCTAGACTCTCAAGAGCTTGTTTAAATAGATGTCTTGTAAATTATGTAAATTTTTTATCATTATGGGCAAATGTATTGTAAATTGACAGAAAGATGAAAGTCTACAGGGTCCACTGAGAAATGCCAATAAAAAAATAAAAAAGGGTTGTACAAAATCTCCAGCTCTTAACGCATCTCATTGCCCGCTTGCAATTCTTGGTTGAAAATGTCCATGAAATGGGAATGTGTTCAGGAATTGACGTGCAACAAGCTGTGAATCAAAGAATCACTTATTTTAGTTCTTAATCCTACACCTATAATTATTGTAAAGAAAGAAAAACAGACACCAATTTCAAACTTAATCTGGTTCTCTGTATGCTCACTCTCTCTGTCACCGGTTTTCTTTCTACCTTTAGCTTGCTACTAAATTAATGCTTTTATACATTTTGCCCACAAAATAGTCAATCTGTACAATATATCCTGATAAGCACTTTCAGACTTCTCAACGATGTGAAAAGGCGCTTTATCAAATGCAAAAAATAGTATTGTTACTTGTTAATCTTTGTCACATTTTGGGTTTAGAAAAAAAAGTGTCCAAGTGTGTAAGTACTCAAGGCTACTGACTGATCACTTTATTTTGGCCTTAACCAGTGAAAACTCTGGTTTGTTCACTTAGTTTAGTAAATGTAGCTTTTTCAGCACATTAATGATTTCTTTACAGAGCTTTGTCACTTCCCCAACTGTTAGCTGAGGTCGACACTAATGTTTTGTAAACCCTTTTGATATCTTTTAATGTGCGAGATGAGATAAATTCATTTGTCGTATTTCATTTCCTTCTAGTGTTTTTGCAAGTTGGAATCTACAATTAAACACTGATGTGGGGTTTGTGCTTATTGCACCAATCAGTTTCTGTTGGAATTGCACCAGCGTCAGTTCACAGTGGGATTCCTGTTATCCTGTAGAATAGAACAAATGAGGTTAATGCAATAAATGGGACTTTCTAGGTATTTTGTGAAGACAAAAGGGGTGTTTAATTGTAGCCACACAAGCAATGGAAATAAACAGCTAAAATTTGCTAACTAGTGTTGCTCAAGTGTAGTTTTGAAAGTAACCTTAAACAACACAGCGAGAGGCAGATTTCTTATTTTAACGTTTGTGTTGGGGGGAAAAAAATCCTCTTAGTCCTCACAGGAGCAGGTGCCAACCACCAGAGGGCAACAGACAGCCACACACCGCTACAACTTCAGCTGCAAGGAATGGATTGAATGCACCTCAATGCCCAGGGAGCAACTTTGCTCACACCCTGTGTCAGTACATGGTCCCGCAGTCCGTCTGATCTCCTACCAGAAATACCCACTTAATTATTCATAGTAGTTGTGATGGATCTTATTTGAAACCAAGATTGGATCAGCAGACTTGCCCCCTGCAGTGACGACGACTCGACAGTGATGGAGCACGACCCCAAGTCAGCGGGAGGTGACCGTAAGCACGGTCAACGAGGAAGGTCTTCAGGCTCGATCTGATGACAGGGAAGGAAGGATAGAGGAAGAGTGTTCCAGAGTTTCGGGGCACAGTGGCTGAAAGTGTGGCCACCAATCGTGCAACAAAAGATTGCATTTATAGAGCGCCTTTCACGTTGGGAGGACGTCCCAAGGCGCTGGACAGTGGGTCGTGGCCCGAGCAGGGGGGAAATGGTGAGGGGAGGGAGTAGAGAGTCGAGAGGGAAGCTGAAGGCATGGTCGAAGAGAAAGGTCTTGAGACCGTCCTTGAAGGAGGAAGTGGCGAAGACACTGGGGGATGGAGTTCCAGAGCCTCGGGGCTGAGAGGCTGAAGACCCGACCACCGATGGTAGGGCGGTTGGGGCGGGGGATGTGGAGCAGACCGGAGCCGGAGGAACGGAGGGTACGGGCAGTTAAGTAGGGGGATAGTAGGTCGGAGAGGAGGGTGCAAGGCCATGAATGGCCTTGTAAGTGAGGATGAGGATCTTGAATTCGAGGACATGCAGGAGGAGGCAGTCAAGCGGAGGCGGTGGGTAGACAACTAGAGAGTATCTTTCATGGAGGATAGTGCAACAGGTGCTTATATAATCTCAAAGTGCTTTAGAGGGAGTGTGTGGGTTACGTGGCAAAGTGGAGGGAAAGAGAAAGGAACTAAAGTCACAGCTACACAGTGGGGCTTGAAGTGGAGTCATTGTGAATAGTTCCTGATACCCTTTGTCCCACAAAAAACTGAACAGAGTTCATTCCTCTGTGACTGAAAACACAACCATCAAAACAAACTTTTTTTATTTTTACATTTTATGAACAGGTTGATTTTTATTGTTCCCCTTCCCTGTTCCTGGTTTCAACAGTAAATAATGAACATACAAATGCACAATAAACCAACGGAACCGGTTTTGGAATGAGACAAAAATTGGAAATCTCCCCCCCGCCCCCCTCACAAAAAAAAGATATTATCTTTCATTAATAACATTAATAACTGCCAAGATAAGAGCCACAAACTGTGAAGTCCAAGGGTCTCTACATTTTATTGCTAATTTTGCCAAAGTAACTGCACACTGTGCAAGTCAACTATTATAAAGTGCCAGAAGACACAAACGTGGCTTTTGAGAATTAACACTCCACACAACCATCTCCCTTTGTTTACTGGTGGCAGTTTAGAGTGAAGATACAGACCAGCTCACTGCTCCAGTCAACCACAAAACACCTTCCCCTTCTTAACTTAGCCCTCCCCGCTCAGCCCACCCGCAGCAATACAAGGAATCACAAACTATGCAACAAAGAAAAGAACGCAACAAAGTTCTGGACAATAAGGATTTTTCAAACAGATTTTCCAACACAAATTTAAACAACGTTTCGTTAAACCCCCACCTCACCGTTTGACAAAGGCACTTTTTTAAAAAAAAAACACAAATCAGAATCCGATCGTTTTTCATATTCTGATTAAAGCACACTTTTTGTAAACATTTACCAATATGTCTCAATAATTTTCAAGGTATCAACTGACTTGGGTCGGTCTCTACACCATTAAGTACCATCACTTTTCCTTGCACCGGATACTGAAAAGATATTGGACGGACCCCAGTCAAATTAATTTTTTAATCAGCTCATTTTAAAAAAACATTTACCTGTATCAGAAGTGAAGTATTTCTCACTCCCCCTTCCCCGCCCCCCAACCACACACACATGCATTTCCATTGCAATTTAGATTGATGTAAAAACTCCCATCAACTGGCTTTACGCTTTCTCTCTCTCTGTCTCTGATTCACTCACAGCAAATCAGTTTGCACCCACCCACTGCACCAGTGTAATCGTTCACTGCAAACACACGGCACAAATTTACCTTGCTCTTTCAAGTTTGACAGCAAATACCTTGCCCTCGCTGCTTTCAAAGGGCTCGACTGACATTAAGAGGCTCCAGGTGTTGCTCCCTGACCTGCGCTGCACACTTCACTGTTCCAAGGAGACACAATCCCAAAGTGAAACCAACCTGGGAAGCGACCAGCTTTGAAATTGAGAAGAGGCTGTTTTCAAGGGGTGGTTGGAGGGGAAGGTGTTGGGGCGAGGGGAGGAGGTTGGAAGTAAGGGATTGGGGTATTCCCCCCCCCCCAACCAGTGCTGGTTTTGATTCCCTGCCAAATGCAAGTGAGCAGCTTCTGAAATTTCCCATCTTTCTCTGGGATAATGTCCTTTGGATTCACCTTGGCAGAACACGAACTCCATAACTAGGTCTTCCATCTTTCATGGATCCCCCCCACCCCAACCAGCGCTGGTTTTGATTCCCTGATAAATGGGGTTGTGAGTCCCATTCCCCCCGGTGAAGGTTGCCAATATTTTAAGGCTGTTGACCGACCGATCCCAAATCAGATGTAGGAACCAACAGTAGCCTAACGCCTGTCTATTTCACCCGGGAAAAGTCAGTGAAGTAGCCAGTAGATTCGGGATGAGGGGATCGGTTATCAACAACTGAGGGGGGTGGGGGGGGATTCAAAAGTCCCCCAACAGTGGATAGAAGAAACCTTTCCAGCTGCCAAACCAACCCATTGTCTCAAAGTGACTGGATTGGATTGAGTGTGTCGAGGGGTGAGGGAAATCCATTGTATCCCCCCTCCCCCCACACACGCCCATAACAAAAACGGGGATCTATTGCCGAGAAAGGGATTGTCATGATAAGTTATAACTATTTACAAATAAAATCACAATCTTAGCGGTAATATTACATCTCCCCTCGCCAGTATATATCTTTGGATTGACGACTTGGGTAACAGACATACACACACACACACACACACACGTATGCGTGTAAATAAACTGGTGGGTATTTGGGGGGGGGGGCCAAAGAGAAAAAAAAACTCAAAACGCATCAAAAATCAATGACCAGGCAATGATGAGGCACCACAAAAGCCTCATCTTTTCCATTGGTCTGCCCACTGACCTGTGCCTTCGCTTCCCTCAAATAATTTTTTATAAAAAAAAGAAACAACGAAGACAAAACAGAACCAACAACAAAACTGCCCTGATCAAGCATGCGAGGGGCCATCCATAGCAGACAGGGTCAGGATGCTTCTGTCATTTGTACAGTAGGGGTCCGAGTCACTCCAAGATCTAAACAAAAAGACACAAAGACAAGGGGTGTTTTTTTTGACAACTTAAACAAACTAAACTGGAGTCTAAGTTAGTGCAACAAAATAAAGGTCACTACGCCCTACAGTAAAGTCCTGTGAAATGCTTTGAGATGACCAACACCACAGTCAAAGAGGAAATCGTTGAGAGAGACAGGCCTCGAATGAGTTGTGGGAGGAAGCGGGTCAAAAATAATTCTGCTACTTAGACTTAATCTGCCCACTTTAAACTGATTAACACAGATCTGAGTCTGGATGAAATGTCACGTTGCAACTATTGGTTTAACGTCTACAGCACTGAACCTCTGATTGTACCTGCGATGTGTTAAGAATGGTCGGTGAGATTAACATGATAAATGCACTCTAATTAGCTTATTTATTTGCTCCCTTAAACCTTTGCTGGTTTGCTTGTAAAATGCATGTTACAAAAACANTTTTTACTTTACGATATGGAATAAAAAACTAACTAAAATTAGTATTAAAAAAAACCTGACACTTGAGATGAACTCAACTCTGAGTCCTAACATTAAAGTTTAAAATATTCCATAAACGTCGATAAGACTCTCTCCCCTTTTTACTTTCTATTTATTAAACAACCAGTCCAAAAATTGACAATTAATACTTATTACTTGCATATTCTGTGAAGCGTTTTAAGACGTGCTCCCGACATAAAACACGCTGTATCAAATGTAAGGATTACTATTATTAATATAAGCTTAGCACCAGACTTCAGTAAAAAAAATGATTTACCCCCTCAATTCTCCCCCCATCGAGCATTAATTTACAATCCCTAAAAATCGGAACTCAAAAATTCAATGAAATGTACAAAAACTTTGCAAAAAGTTTGAAAAGTTCTGGTTGTAAAAAAAAAGCCACAATTCTAAAGTCTGTGCGATGAAGGAGCTGCTGGACTTGACTGAGGTAAGAGTTTACTGGGGGAAATGGGGGGTGGGGGGAGAGGAAGAGTCAAAAAATATTAAGTTTAAATTTTTTTAAAAAGGTGAGGTGTAGAGCAATCTCCCCTTCCCACAAGCACACACATACAAACACACATACACCCCAACGCACACACCCAGCAACACACACACACCCACCAACACCAACACAAACACACCCAACACAGCCCCGAGCAGCACACTCTTAATATTCGTCGGGGGAATAACAGAACAGATTTATTTTATAAAATTGAAAAATGAGTTAAATAGTGTTGCTTAAAAAAGACTCCCTGCGAGTTTGAGACTTAGAGGGAGGCAGACCAGCCGGTTATAACGAGATTTTTTAGAAACGCTTTGAGAGATTAAAGTGTTTGAGAGATTACTTCCATAAACAATCTAAGAGAGAAAGAGCGAGACAGAGAGACACACACAGAGACAGAGAGGCAGAGTGACAAGAGTGTGGGGAGTGCTTCCGAATTAATCACTATTAAAATCCCGGTTGAACCGGTCAGTGAGAATACAAATCACAGTGACGGTGACAGAACGCGCTGACATGACACCACCCGATCGATGAACTGGCACGAGCTGCGAGCTGGAAGCCAGGGTCAGCGGCAAGAACAATAGCGGGGGCTCGAGAGAAGATGGACCCAGAGCGAGTCTCCTCACAGCAGCTCAAAAGCCGGGTCACATTTATACTCAACAGAGAGGTCGTTTGGAAATTAGGAGATTCACGTCAGTCAATCTTCTGGATATTTATACGGTTTACACTAAACCTCACCTTTAAGTCGTACTAGTTGGGATCAGACATTTAATATAACTTACGCTGTGCGCAATTGGCTGCCGTGTTTCGCCCACAAAATATGCAGTCACTCCACTTTACAGTATATTCTGTGACGCGCTCTGACACGTCGCAAACACATGATAAAGGCGCTATATCAAATGCAAAGATTATTATTGTTATTATTAAGTACGAGTTATGGCAAACTTGCATGGAATATAAACTCTTGAACAGGACTTGGTCAGATAGTTGTACGACTTGGGCGATTAAACGATTTATATAGATCAGACTGCGTATAAAACTAATATTAATAATCCTTGTATTCGATACAGCACCTAATCGTGTCTTCGAGACGACTCAAAGTGCTTCGCAGAGTATACTGTAAAGTGTGGTGACTGGGTATTTTGTGGGTGAAACGAGTATAAAAAGGGGATCATTCTCTGTGAAGAGAGGTGAGACAGACAAGATTGCCAGCGGTCACTTTTCTCGAGTGTTTTCCCGGAACTTTTGACCATTTAAAAAAGAAAGTTTGTCCAGTGAGAGAGAGAGAGAGAGAGAATACGCTAACCTGCAGTTGTCAAGTGAGGAAAAGTGAGACAGTGGGAAACCCATACACCTGACCATCTTAGCAGAAAGTTACTACACAGACAGGAGTGGGTGAGATGGGACAATTGGCCAAAAATTCAGATCGATCCAGTGAGAGAGGAAAACAGGACACAAGGTTAGCAATACTGACACGAGAGAAACGTAAAGCACAGAGTTCAAGATCAATACAGTATAAATACCCCCCACCCTCAACACACACACTCACACACGACAGACACAGATATACAATACACACATACACTCGCAACAGACACACATGCAACAGACACCCCCCCGCGCGCGCAAGACACGCACGCTCGCAAGACACATATGCGCGCGCACAACACACACAACACACAGATGCAACAGACACGTGCGCGCGCAACACACACACGCGCGCCCGCGCAACACACAACAGACACACACATGCCCGCACACATGCAACACACATACGCAATACGCGCGCGCGCAAGACACACCACATACACACACAGAGACAGACACACACACGACACACACACCTTCAGCCCCTCGAGCCTGTTCCTCCATTCTACCAGATCACCCGCCTTTGCTTCTTATCCGTGGATACCCTAATTCCCGCAGTTCCTTGGCCTTGTTCCCCACATGCCTGCAAAACCTGCTTTCTTTTCAGACGCTTTTGGCCCCGCCCCCCCCCCCCCCCCCCACACACACACACAGATACACACGCACAAACCCTCCTGCTGGCTGTGTTTGACGGCCGCCCCAAGATGACAGAAGCCGTATAAACAGAGTTAGAGACAGAGACAGAGTCAGAGGTGTGTGTTGCGGGGCCGGGGCTCCGGCCTGCAGGACAGAGGCTTGCAACACAGGCGATCGAGAGAGATCCCACACCTGGTGGTCCGGAGGGTGCTGCAGCGGCCCACCAGCCGGTCTAGACCTCGTCCAAGAGCCGCACACACTGTCTCCCCGCCCGTGTAACACCGCATCGAGTCCAAGCACGAGACGCTGGGTCCGGGCTCCAAAAGCTGGGAGAGAGAGAGGGAGAAAACAAACAAACATTACCACATTTCACTCTCAAACAGCGCAGTGCAAAACAAAAAGGAGGCCGGAGCCAGTGGAGCGGAGGCAACGGGTGGTGGATTGGGGAGTAAGCAGGTCGGAGAGATAGGGAGGACATTGACATTAAAGATCGAGCGGTGCTGTTCGAAAAAGAGAAGCAAGTTTCTCTCCTCCCCGGGTCCCGGCCGACAATCACCCAGATTGGTTTGGCCACTCGGTCGCTCCGTGACTGTTTGCCGTGAGGTTAACAGTTGCGATGCGCGAATTGGCTGCTGCGTTTTCACCCACAACAACAGTCTAACACACACACACACAGCTTTAGGGTGAATCCTGTGAAGCGCTTCAAGTCGTCCTCCCGATGTGAAAGGCTCACACTTTAAACGTAAACTGTTCGGTGCTGCAACATCAACGCTACAGGCCTCCCATCACAGCATCAATTGTATCCTTGAACAAGTCCAAGCATTCCTACCGGCCTCAAACACCCTCCCTGGAAACTCGCTGAGGTGGTTAATTACCCTCTGGGTGAAGAAGTGTCTCCTAGTTCCTGCCCTTCACCTCTACCCACTGACCGTCCAACTGCATGAGGTCAGAGACATCATATCCTACACACAGCTTCTGATAGGAGGGCACATTGGCTCACCTTCTCTCTCGTCTCTCCCCCTCCCCTCGGAACAACACCTAACCCCAGAACCTTTGAGGTGCTGGTTGGGAAGAGTCAATGCTTTGGAGGGAAGGAGGGAGTTTTTTTTTTAAACGCATAAAACATTTTGAAATAAGATTTCCGGGCAATGTGACACGTGTTGTCGTGTGTGTTGTGCTAAATCGAGAAACCCTGGGCTCACGCTTTCTCTCTCTCTCCAACAGCAACAGCTATGTAGGGAGAGAGACACACAAAGGCACCGCTCTGAGACAGACTGTGGTGTAGAGGGATTTCGCCAGCTGTTGAGATCAGATCAAAGCCGGATCAGGGCAGATCAGGAGGATGAACTGATCCATCCCGAGGGAAATCAGCATGTAAGCCGATTAAAACAAACAAACCACAATTGTCGTGCATGGAGTCACGTCTATGTGGGCTGGTGTCTGTTTGACGGAGTCACGCCTAATTAGCGCGAAACCGCTAAACTGCAGCGGAGACCTTTGGCGTGGTGGTTAGTGCCCTCGCCTCACAAGCGAGAGGACCTGGGTTTGATTCACTTGCTGGGGTGAAACCTTCGGCAAGTTTCCTTACTCCATACGCCTCTGTTTACCAGCTGTAGGTAGGAACCTGGTTGTTAGTCGATTGAAAGATCGCTTTCCCAGGGTAATAATCCCTCAAAACAAATTTGGTCACTCAATCCACAACTGTTTGTGGGACGCTACTGTGCGCAATTGGCTTCTGCGTTTCATCCACAAAATACGCAGTCAATCCACTTTACATTATAATCTGTGAAGATATTGTAGCCACAGGGAACTGGGATTTAAGAGAAAATTACCACTGGCCCAATTCCTCATTTTTCTTTGAACGTCTCTAAGCTTCTATGCTGGAGTGTGAATGTGTGTGTTTACCCCAATTTGTGTGAGAGACAGTTTCAGACTGGGTGGGCCCACTGACACAACAGGAATCTTGGTTCTCAGATGACTCTTCGTTCTAAATCTAGCTGAAAACCTCCGGACAAAGGGGCCAGAAATATCACTTTACTTACTTGGTTTCACCTTCCTTATTTAAAAATAAGCCTTATGCACAGACTTGTGTTGTCAAGCACGCACTCGGAGGCCACACCTGCCCACCAGCCTGGCTTCTCTCTTTTAAGGAGAATTAACTAGTGCAATGAATGGGTGGCTTGTGACTAGGCTGACCCCACATCCTCCAGCCACTGCCTCACCATCGGCGGACACACCTTTGGCCACTTTTCCCCCGGCTCTTTGGAACAAACTCTCCCTGAATCCCTTCGGCCCTCCCTCCCTCCGCCGCTTTCAAAATCCCTAAAAACAAACTCTCGTCTGCGCTTTGTCCCCCAGTCTTCCAACCGCTCAGACTCTGTGAGGCGCTCTGAGATTCCATTTAACTACGCCAAAGGTGTTTAGTTTAACAGCAGCAACAAATTACAGTTGTATAGAGTCTTGCACATCGGGAGGGTGTCCCAAGCTGCTGGACAGTCAGGGATTTGGACCTGAGAAGGGGGTTGGGATCAGGAGAGATGTAGGGCAGAGAGGGTGGGGATAGAAGGGTGAAGGAGCGGTTGAAGAGGAGGGTTTTGAGACGGGGCTTGAAGGAGGCACGGGAGAGGGTGAGGCGAAGGGACTGTGGGATGGTATTCCAGCGGTGGGGGCAGAGAGGCTGAAGGCCCGACAACTGATGGTGGGGTGGGCCGGGCGGGGGATGTGGAGCAGGCCGGAGCACGTTGAGCGCAGGGTCGATATGGTCACAGGTCACAGAGGACAAACCTCCCTGGAACAGAAGCCGCGGTTTACCTCCGTAAGGAACAATCAATCGATCACGTTAATGTACAAGCGAAACAGAACCGTAACGAGAGCTCTCACACTTCAGGCTGCGTGCATCGCCGTTTGGCAAAACGCATTCATTCCATGGGGAGGGCATCTGCCGTTAGCTCTAAAACTAGCACATCTATAAAGAGCCTCATGCAATGCAAATACAACAGAAAGGACCAGTGAGTGTTACAGGCACGCACATCAGGCACGCAGAGATTATTAGGCACGCAGAGATTATTAGGCACGCAGAGATTATTAGGCACGCATGCTAAGTAAGCAGAAAAAGGACACAATGTACGTTTATCATTTTTAACCACTGAAATAGTTTGCAGAAACATTAAATCCTACGTTTAAAATCCTTACAACTTTATTCCTTTGGTAGAAAGGTGGTTATGGCTACTGACCTTGCACTCTCATAAATAGCTACAGGAAAATTTTCCAAATTTCCACATACAAGCAACTGCAAGTCTCCAGAGAACAAATACGCAGCCCCCCCTGTGTTCAGGAAAGTGGGGAGATATGGTACTCAACAACAAGAGACAACGGCCCCACCTGCTCCAAATTATATTAAAAATTAAGCCACATACTCAACTACCCCCACATCCACGTCCATTGAGCTTTGTCAAATGGGCCCATCTAAATTCCCTCTTAACATGTGACTCTCACAAATGCGGGGAGAGAGGTGGGTGTAGGGGGGAGATGGGAACGCTCCCTGGACAATGCTGTACAGATCGCTCAACAGGTCACAACACAAAAAGGTCACCTTTGCTGGTCGCTGCTTACCGTTCTGCGGAAGCGACTTGCTAGATTCAATCATATTATAGTGACCAATTGTGCACCCCCACAGATAAGATTGTTGTCTCTCACTCCCTCTGGAGGGACGCATCCTGCTTGCCTAATTCCGGAAAGTATTAGGCGCAGGTTGGCAAGAGCCAAGGCTTGGATACCTCAGAGCGTGGTTGGGGATAACAGCTGGAGTCTAACTACCTAACACCACATGTATTGCTGGACAGCAATATCAATGGCAAACTACGTGGTTTTAGCTGGTTAGACTCCAGCTGTTACCCCCAAAGCACACTCTAGGAGCCCCCAAGCCTTGACTCTTGCCAACCCGCACCTAATACTTTCTGGAATTAGACAACCAGGATGTGTCCCTCCAGGGAGAGAGTGCGCATTCTATTCCAACAATCTTGTGTGTCCAGCTAGGACCAAAGTTTGGGGGACCATAGAATGTGCGTTGGGGTAACTGCTGGAGTCTCACCAGCTAAAACGTCAGTGCTGTTTAGCAATTAGAGGCACGAGGGTAAACATTTTATTTTCAAGTTTTTGCTACGAGTTTTTATTTTTTAAAAAACTATCCAGTGGAAATGCAGGTTTTCTTGGGTAAACAGTTTTCTACTTAAATAAAATATTTTATCGGATTTATATCTGCAGTCTGCATTTTTTTTTAAAAAGTAGCAAGATTTTTAAAATAAAAGTATTTAATAAATAATAAATACGTTTCTCAAATAGATACCAAAAAGATGTGTGTCTTTATATCAAAAATAATTGCTCAGACTAGGTTTATTGAAAATAAAATAACTGCTCAGACTAAATTCATTTAAAATAAAATAAATTGCTTAGAGTAAGTTTATTTAAAATAAAGCATTTGGTCAGACTCAATTTATTCATCTGGATGTGTCAGTGCTGGGAGGGTTTGTAGGCATGTTAGGGTTCGGGGTTTGGTTGGAAGCCGGAAAGCTCTGGTTATTGTAGGTGTCGGTGAAAGCCATTGTCCTACATGCAAGCAAACTGTAGCTATTTGCTCTCTCTGCCGCTCTCTAAACTTCTAAAGCTTCATGCCTTCGCCTCCTCCTCTAATACACTGGTTAGTTCAATCGCATCGGTCATGCAAATAACTGAGTGAGCTGCCTCTCCTGCTCTACCTAATTTGCCCAGCTGGGTCCTGGCCCTGGACATAGGCTGTAGAGCGATCCAGTCATCCCCTAAAGCAATCCTGCTGAACATCTATAGGACAGAAAAGGGATGAAGATACAGTAAGTAACAGAACACAACACTGACAGCACCCTTTACCCAGAGCAAGCAAAACACAAGGGCACGAGGACAAATCATCTCAGAGCAAGGCAGCAACTCCAATTGACCAGCCTACGCTGGTGAAGATGCTGGGTGCTTAACCTATAACATACAGGGGGTAGGGGATAAAACAGAAAGCACTGCAGCTGGTGGGGAGGGTTTGGTGGGATAACGCACAGTGAGATATGATACTCAAGTCACTGTTTGCTCATTTTGCTAAAAGCTCTTTAATGCCCTGATGTTTGTGTCCCAGTTAACAGTGAGGAATATCAGTAAGGCTCCTGCACTGGTCACTGTACCAACAGCAGCAAAATTACATTTACATAGCACTTTTCATGTCAGAAGGACATCCCAATGTGCTCGACAGTTGCAGGTTGGGTTCAAGGGGAATGTGGGTGGGAAGGTGGCCATGGGCACCATCGAAGAGGAGGGTCTTGAGACAGACGGAGTTCCAAAGGGTGGAGGCAGAAAGCCTGACTGCCAATGGTGAGTGCCCGCCAAGTGAACAGGTTGATACGGTGTTAACAGGTCACAGAGGCAGGAAAGAGCAATATCTTGGAGGGCTTTAATAGTGAGGAGGAGGATTTTAAACTCGATGCTCTGTGGGACAGGGAGCCAGTGGAGCTGGATACAAATAGGTCCTAGCACCTTACAGCAGTTACACATTCCAGCACCGAAACATGGCTCACAGCCCACTAATCTGTGCCTGTGTTTATACTCTACACAAGTTTCTCTCACCCCTACCCCTGCCCCCTACCCACCCTTTTGTACGTAGTTTCCTCTTCAATGATGCCCTCTTTCAGCAGCCAAGGTGGCAATTATCTGAGGCTCTGCTGTCACGGTGATACATCTTGAAAGACTGACAGACAGACATGTGGAAGAACCAATCTGCTTAAGAGTGTCCAAACTAGACAGTTCTACATTTGCATGGCATAGTGTGCACTCTCTCTCGGAGGGACGCACTTTGCTTACCGAATCCTAGATATTGAACGAAGGTTGGAAAGATTTGAGGTTTAGTGACCCCGGCGTTGGGATACTGCTAGAATCCAATCAGCTAAAACCGCACAGCTTGCTACTGATTATCTAGCAAGCTTCCCACCGCCTTCCAGCTACAACCACACAAGCAGGAGCTGAGTGTGATAACCCCCAGTTATATGTGACTGAACCCTAACAAGGCTAACACGTGAAGGACTTAAGAGCTAAAGGCATTAACTAGTCATCTTACCTTCTGAAATGAGTCAGTTAATAACCATCAGAAGGTTTTTTTTCTAAACAAAATATCGGATAAACTAACAAGCACCTTATGGTATTCCTACTGGAAGCTCAGACACAGTCTATTACATTTCTTCTTGTGGTTCCTCCTATAGAGGGCAGCCTGATCCAGATCTGGTTAAAAAAGTAAAACACATGAGAAGGATAACACTCGAGTCGTAAAAATAATGGTACAAAATAAAGCAATATTTCCATAAACGTCTACATTTTGGGTTCTACAACGGATACTTTTAGGATTCCTTGCACCAGCCCCCTATCCCCAGATTTAAAATATTCCTTCATGACTAGGCTCCCATCATGGGAGTGTGTGGTCTTATCCTAAAATACAATTAATTTACTTTATAGTATATCCTACGAAGTGCTTTGAGACGTTTCAATGACATCATAAGGTGCTATATCAAATGCAAGGATTATTATTATTATGAAATGTGCCTCAGCCAGTTTGTTCTCCAAGCCTCTTCTGGTGATATACAAGTTCCTCCTGGTGTCCTGGCCATTAACCTTAATGAAACGCAAAGTTACACATTGATGGAAATTTCCAATAATATGGATCAGATTCAAAGCCGAATTAAAGAACTGTTCTCTGCTGGTGACTATCAACTGGTTTATGCTTGAATTTCCTCAGTCTGACCCACGAGGTTGTGGGGAGTGGGTAAAAGTGGTCATTTGAGGAAATAATTTTTTTAGGTTTTTATTTAATCTTTATATACTTTTAGAATGCAACCTTCCTGTGTGTGATCCTTTCATAGGGTTGTTTGCTTTGATGACTGGCTTGGGGCCCCTGAGAGGGGACATGTGCTAATTAGCGTTAGCAAAGGTAAAATTATATTGGCTTGACCCCGGTTGAGGTCAGGATCTGATAACTTTCCCTCGTTCAGTCCCTGGTTAGATGAACAAAACTGGTCATTTGACTCTTCCCTATAAGACTGAGAGCACCCCTCCGCCCCTCCTCTCCCTTTGGCCTGGTTTGATGAACACGAGCCTCACCCACAGTTTACAAATGAATCATAGGAAACAATTTTCAATATTAAGGCTCAATTTAAGAAATTTAATTACAATGACCATGATAATTTGGGGTGCTCAAGACTGCAAACAAAGACAGCGCAAACGCTTGGTATTATCCACATGTGCACACACACTTTTGTGGCTCAGTAACCTGCCATGTATTGAACTAAACCCTCTTCCTACACTTCTTTTAAGTTATCACGCTTTTGCACCCCAATATACTGCTCAAGATATCACACAGTAAATAGAGGTCAGTTGCACATGACAGAAAGTGAGCTGATCGATTAAATATTTACCCTTAAAACATTCATGTGATTAAAAAAATAATGCCCCAAGAATATCGGTTTCACACCACATGCCTTGCACACAAAGCCATTAGGACATGATTTCCGGTTTGATATATCGGAGATCAAAGGCAATTCACTGTTTGATTACAGGGCCATTCAGATAATGGAGGCCAAATAAATATCCTGTGAAATATCGAAACATGAAGTTTGCCAATATTACACAGCCAAGTGACCAAAATAAAAGGGATTGTTATTCGCCATTTAGCTGTTGAATTCAACCACTGCAATCAGTCACTCGATAAACTTTTGGCATCATACATTCATCCAAATCTGCATTCAGCTGCTGAACCAAGTATCATTGTTCGAACTGTAGTAAACAGGTCTGCCTGTCACTCACACACCCTTGTAACACCTGCTCTACTTCCCGACAGAAAACTTCTAAAGAAAAGACCGCTTAAACATAAGATGTAGGTTACTAGGGTAATAACGACTGCACACATTTTCTTGCACATCTGCATGAAATGTAGATCGCAGTGAAGTGCGGGAGTTGCACCCATCTCTGTGACCCAGTGACAGTCCAAGCTACAGGTTTCTCCATGTAACTCTTAGAGCAGTCGCTTGCAGACCAGCTTGAATGGAACAAGGAAGCGAGTGTGAATCACAGTAACTTTCCAGCAGGAATGTGGACCATGGAAGTCCATCTAATCTCCCCTTTAAATTCCCCGCAGAGTCGAGATACAACACAAGTGATTTTTCGAGCCAAATATTTGATCCAGATGAACACAGCTTCATAAAACTGCTGTGAAGGAAAACAGTTATCAAACGCACTTTTTCCACACACTGGTCTTAATAAAGGATTTCTTCTTCCATCACTGAATATTTAACTCTCCCATGACTTAACTTGCTGAACAGAAAGCACTTACTTACCTGTGATTTCTCGGATAAAGAAGGTCGAAAGTGTCTGGAAATTATTTTCGTTAGGACGTCCGGGACCAAACAGGCAACTACTAGCAGGGCAAAGGCGAGCCACGTGGTAAAGCTGGAGAGCATCTTAATGCTGATATAGTACATGCTATGTCCATCTAAAAATGGCCTACAAAGAAAGAGATTGGAGGTCAGGCAAAGAGTGTTCTTAATCTGCTCTGATGCTCTCAAACTGAACCACAATGATTATAATAATACTTGCATTTGATACAGCGCCTTATCACATTGTTGATACATCTCAAAACGCTTCAAAGAATATATTGTAAAGTGGAGTGCCTGTATTTTGTGGGTGCAACTCGGCAGCAATTGCGCACAGCAGCGTCCCACAAATAGTCGTGGATTGAATGACCACATTTTGAGGGTGGGGGGTGGATTATTACCCCTGAAAATTGATCTGCTAATCGACTAACAATGGGATTCTTATTTACTGCTAGGTAAACAGAGGCACTTGGAGTACGGTAATTTGCCCAAGGTTTCGTCCTTCCCAGGAATTGCACCCGGTTCCTCTCGCTTGCGAGGCAAACGGGCTAACCAATACGCTACATATCATCACCCAAGATGCAGACTTATCAGTGAAACAGATGCTGTGTTTGATTTTTTATCCCCTCCCCCTTACACTGTAAAGCACACGAGTCATTGCTAGTTGAAATGAGATTAGGATTATTCTGCATATCTTGGTTTCATACTGCCATGAATTTAAAAAGCAGGTATCTTGAATTTAGGCAGCAACTTGCACATAAAATAATATTTTATAATATTATTAAATAATAATAATAATATTTCCCCCAGTGTCCTGGCCACAATTCCCAAGATAAAATTGGCCATAATTTCTCAACCAAACGTGGGAAATTGCTGTGGACAAATTGACTTCCGTGTTTGCCTAGAATAAGTTAGTTATTTGAAAAGGATTTCACGAGAGAGTTCCAAGGAGCGGGGGGGGCAAAGCATTTTCTATTCGCATTATTTGAAGATCTCCCACATTTCGTGATAAGGCGCTATGTCAAATGTAACGATTATTATTATCTCTGATCATTACTTTTGTAGATTGTTACTTTCCCAGTCAGAAAACGCAGATCGATGTTTTCTCTCTATGAAGCCAAGAGGAAACAATGTCGTGATTGTGACGATGGCTACACTTGGACAAGAGGTTGCAAAGGCAAGGCTGGGTCATTTAACAAAAAAAACATTCCATCACTTGATATAAAGAGTTACTCACCAGTATATCCCTTCGTAAAAGAAGGAGAAAAGGAAGTAGAAAATGATCGATCCCCACGTCACAAAGTGATTTACCCAGGTCCAATGATGTGTCTCTATCGAGAGCTTTAAGGAAGGAGAGGTTTTTAATATACAAAATATAATAATTCTTGCATTTGATACAGTGCCTTATCACGTCTTCGAGACGTCTCAAAGCGCTTCACAAAATATACTGTAAAGTGAATCGATTTTATTTTTTGGATGAAACGCAGCAGCCAATTGTGCACAGTAGTGTCCCACAAACAGCCATCGATCGAGCAACCAATTTTTTTTATTTTATTGTATTTTTGAAGGGATTATTACTCTCGGATAAATGATCTACCAATCGACTAACAACCAGGTTTCTACTTACTGCAAAGTAAATAGCGGCGTGTGGAATATGGAAACTTGCCTAACATTTTGCACTGCCTGGGAATCGAACCCATGCCTCTCGATTGCGAGGCGATTGCTCGACTGAGCTACAGCACTCCAATCAAAAGCACTTGAACAGGGCTGGTTGAAACATTATGACCGATCTTTAAGCCCCTCAAAATCATTACTCTTTTGACCATTGAGAACTAGGAGCTACTAATAACGCCAGTCACTTCTGATACAGTCAACAGAAAGAACTTGCATTTCTTCAATTGAAAGATCTCGAAGCATTTAATGGGGAAATTACTGGTGAAGTAGTGTAGCGGCCGATTTTGTAGCCTAATTTGGCAGCTATTTGTCTCCCGATGTGAAAGGTGCTGTACAAATATAATTTTGTTGTTTATTTTATTGCTGTGCTAAGGATATCACTGAAGGATTAATGAATTAGAAGCATGTTTCCCTCGGCCACGTACAAGAAAATATTATAAATAACGTACTCCAGTTATCCAAGCAGTTAACATGGAAAAAGTTGAATGATTTTTCCAATCAATATCAACCTTTGCTGGTGCAAGATCATTTCGAAAAAAGGCCTTTTTCTTCTTTCCCAGTTATCATGAGCTTATCTCAAGATATCCTCAAGCCTGTATCTTCCCATAAACATCAGTGACGATGGATAGTTTTTAAAATGAGACTTCTGTAAATATTACTTTACATCACGTAATACGGGGGTGAGGTTGCGAGGGGGGAAGGGAAAGAGAAGAGAAACATTGCTACAAGAATTAGTTTGTCGAACATTAACCCTTAGTGTTCTTACCTTCAAAGTGACGGTGAGAAACATGACCGTGAAAACTAACATGCCGAATGACCAATTTCCAGTTATCTGTTTTAAGGGGAAAAAAGGAAATGGGTTGAATTGAGACAAAGTCTGCGGGTGGGGGGGAGGGGGGGCTCATACATACAAACCAGTGAATCATGTTGACATTTTTTCCATTGTTAATTAAAACATTTTCTAAAAAAAAATTCTTTGCATTTTTAATTTTTACATTTTTTTGAAAAATGCAAGGATATATTCAAAATAGTTTGCTGCTTATATTCGGTCACGATCAATAATCACAATGGGGGTGCGGGAGGGGAACCTGAAAGATTAAAGATCGAGCCCCCCCAAATCGAAGCATTAGAATACAATTTACAATTTACCTAAAGGTAAGGGTCAGGAGACATCTCAAAGCGCTTGGTTTTCACAGTCATGTGAATTTATCCCTTCATTCTGGATGCACAAATACGCATCCAGCCGCTTTCATGTTTACCGGCAGGAAAATACTCACTGTGTATCATTTACCTCTATGTCCAACATGAAAATTTATCAATCAGCAAGTATCCAAGCCAGATTCAGGTTCCCCAGCAGGGAAACGGGAATGTGTCTTGGACTTGCATTGTTACATGAAACAGGTTCAAAATGGCCTCACGTGGATCCTACTGACAAGAGTCACAAGTATTCTACAGGATAGACAGCACGTGTAAAAACGCAAAGCAAGAAAGCTTGTACTCTGCCAACGTGACCACAGATGACAGTGGACTGTATCTTTTAGCGCAAACCCATTCTGTTCGATCTTATCTGTCGCAGTCTTTGAAAGGACTACGCGTCGGTTATCTCAGATTATTTAGTCTTGCTGACGTTCATTCATTCATGCATTCAGTTGGCCACTTATTCAGTAAAGCAGAGTGTAGACAGCAACAGAAAGTAAGTCAAGGTACAAAGCAACGTAACACGGCATGGCTCAAGTGTGAGTTATGAATGGATTATGAGTCATGGTTTATGAATGGATTAGAAACTAGGCTAGGCGTTAATCATGTTGCATAGAAGAGTGGGCATCAATCAACTTATAGTTAGGTTTTATCTATAAGGAGAGGATGACATACACCCATATCTTTATCTCTTAGAAACAGAGAACACAGTGCTCAGTCAAATGAGCCCATTCCAACATTTTATCTTTTAAGCAAATCTTTTAATCCCATTTCCCACATTTACCTCACAAATATGAACCAATGCAAATCTTCCTTTAAAGCATCCCAATTGATTTGCAGAAATGCTCTCTGAACACTTTAGAACAGTTCAGCTTTACTTTTAAAGCTGCATGCTAATTTTAAATCTCTTCCCTTTCATTTACCCTACCACCCCACCCACCCGCTCAACACAACCCTCGCTCTCAAATGTTACAAGATCCAAAACAAGTCAACTCTTACCAGATGCCGGTTAGGTTTCAAAATCTGAAGACATGCATACAACGACAGAAGGGACAAGAGAGAGAAAGAGAGAGAGGGAGGGAGAGAGAGAGAAAGGAAGAGAAATAAAAAGCAGAAATAGCGCCGATATTTAATGCTGTTTTTCCCGCCGAACATCTACAAAAGCTTTTGAATCAAAAATGCCATTGGCTTTGGAAACAGACAGACTGCGGAAACTGTTGAAGCAGTGCCAGTGAATGAACAGTCCTAGAATTTCAGTCCAGCTCACGGAGCACCCTTCCAAAGTCCTTGGTCAGTGCTAGTTTGCCAGTAAAGACGCCACTGCCATCGTTACCTCAATGTACAGCATCCCGCTTGGAAACAGCCCAGCCGGCTTCAAAAAGCCAGAGTTTTGGTTCAACTGTGAAAAACAGCCCTGTGATCACCGCCAAGAAATATACCCCTTGTAATAATAATAATCCTTGCATTTGATATAGCGCCTTATCACGTCATTGAGACGTCTCAAAGCGCTTCACAGAAAATACTGTAAAGTGAATTAACTGGATTTTTGTGGGTGAAACCCCTTAAGAAATGAGGTAATCCAAAACTCCCCGATTGAGTTTGGTTTTATCAGGCTGTAGCATTTCCCTCTATTAAGCAAAACGTACATGAGCAATTAATTGAAGTGTTCTAGGCACCATCTTTCTTTCCCCTAAAGGCGTTCTGAAGGATGCTCAGAGGGGTGGACTGATTTGTACCACGTTTCGCCACGAGGCAGTAAATAAACTTTAATATGACAGAACAACATGCTACTTTTATATGCATAAATTATATATTAAAAAGACATTTAAACATATCACACATTCAAATTGTAATTTGACATCAAGTCCTACCTGACCATTTCCCATCAAGGGTGTGTCGGTTCCAATCAAAAGGTAAGAACCAAAGAAAAACACAAAGGCATGACAAAATCCTAGCAGAGTCCAATACAGAAATGTTTTGAGGGACAAGTTCGCATTTCCGCTAATCTCTCTGTAAAAATATAAAATATTGCTTAAGGAAGTTATGCAGAATTGTGAACGTTCTTAAGCTAACAGCAGCTTATAATAATCAACCTTGCATTTGGTATATTAACAACTTGTAACATCGAAGGATGCCTCAAAGCACTTCATGGGATTTACCATAAAGTGGGAGTGACTATTTGTAGGCAAATGTGGCAGCACAATTGCACACAGCAGTGTCCCACAAACAGCTATAGAATGAATGACCAATTTTATTTGAGTTGACTTCACAACATAGCTCTCTGCGTAGAGTCTTTGATGGAATTTGCCGATTTAGTTTAGGCGTGTCAGATCAGGAGATCATGCAGTCTAATGAAGGTGCTTCTTAAGTGTCCACCATTGTCAAGCGGTCCAGGACGCTATCCTGCGTGAAGGGAGTTATATAAATGCAAGTTGTTATTGCTTGCTTAGTAAATCGTGACAGATCTTTCAATCGCATTTCACCATGACCCGAAATTTTCACCTTATCCTTAAAACATCACCATTTGTTCTACCTCTGCGGCAGGGATTTCCACAATCACACAACCCTATGTGTAAAGATCAAATCCCTTTGTGAATTTTGTAGTCCACTGCATAACAAGTTGCAGTTATATAGCACACTTCACACAAGGGGATGTCTAAGGAGAGAAGGAGGTGTTGGTGGTGGGGGAATTGCGTTGAGAGGGGTAGGTATAATTTTTTTAAAATCGTGAATGCTATAATAATAAAACTTTAGATATTCTCATCTCAGTAAAACATGCAATTCAGCATTTAATTCTATTGCAAACGTTTAATGTTAAAGATCAAAACCACTGAGAAACAGAAACATTTAATGCAAACAATTTATGGGGGGGAATTAATTGTTTTTGAATGTTGCACTCAATTTCTGCCTGCCGAAACGTTAACGTTATTCCTACTAGGAGGAAGTTATGCAGAATACCTGCTACATAGATTTTGCTGTCGGACTTTGAATGGGTTGCAATGAATGAATGGTTTCCATTGAGCAGAGGTGTGGATAAGAGAGAAATGAAACACTTACTTGTACAAAGCTGGCTTGCTCATCAGTACGTGAGGGGGCACAATTTGCTCCAGCATGCTGAACATGAGGATGGGTAGGGAAGTGAAGCAAATGTTGTACAATGTCAGGTACGCACCGTTATACAGGGTCTGTAAAACAACAGCAGTCAGTGACACATCTCCAGGTTAATAATACTTGCTTTTGAGATAGCTGTATCATGTCGTCGAAATGTCTCAAAACACTTCACAGAACATACTGTAAAGTGAATTGACTATATTTTGTGGGTGAAACGTGGCAGCCAATTGCGCACAGCAGCGTCCCACAAACTGTCATGGATTAAGTGACCTATTATTTTTTTTAGATTACACAGTAAGCGATCTGCCAATTGATTAACAACCGGGTTGTTACTCCTAGGTAAACAGAGCCGTGTGGAGTAAGGAAACTTGTCCAACGTTTCACCCTGCCGGGAATCGAACCTAGATCCTCTCGCTTGCGGGGTGAGTGCTCTAACCACTAAGCTCAATACATCTGCAACTTCAATGTGAGATGCTACGTCAGGACTGAGCAGTCTGCAGTAGGATTAATGGCAAGGACTCCCCCCAAAAAGTACATTTCAAAATGTGCTGCCTTTGCTTTAGGGTTTACTAAAGCTCACAATGTCATGGTCAATATTAATTTGCATTTATAGCACCTTTCATGTAACCCCAAAACCCTAGCACTTTATGTAGAATATAACTGATTGGAAATGAAAGGAATGTCGCTGTGTAGGCAAATGTGGTAACTGATCAGTGCCAGCAACGTCCCAAACTACAAGGAGACGTGCAGCCAACTCATTTTGAATTTGGAGGTAAATTTTGATTAAGACCACAAAATATGCTATGGATTTAATGCTGCGGTCCCTTTACCGATTACAATGTGACGTGGACTTAAGACCGATAATTTATTCTTCGACAGTTGATCTCCTCCTCATTTCTCACCGACTCTCATCCAACCATCAGCGGCCTAGCCTCCATTGGAACTCTCTCTTTTCTCTCTCTCGCTTGCTCTCTCTCTCGCTCTCTCAATGTCCCTTCCCTCCAGTCCTTCAGATCTGTCTCAGAAACTAATCTCTGCCCACTTTTAGAAACTCCTGCAAACTTTCAATTCTTCATTAACTGTTGTGTATACATGGGGTATGATCACAGCATGGAACAGATGTACAAATGATTTACATTTACGATGCGCATTTCACGTAAGGAGGACTTATCAAGCGTTTCATAGTGCTAGGCGGGCACCTGAACCGGGGGTGGTGGAAACGAGGGGCGGGGAAGGATGATGGAAAGCACAGTCGAAGAGGTACATTTTCAGATATGCCTTGAAAGAAGGGAGATAACAAGATAGCAGAGAGGAAGGGAGCAAGTCAGCAGGACTCTGAGATGGAACACACCATAAATAGTTTTACAAGCTTCTTAATATGATATAAACAGGAGGAACACTTACTTGTTGTGTAAACAAACAGAAGAACTGATATAAAAACTGAGGTGTGATAAAGCACACATTCTGGAACAAAGAAAATGACAGGGCAGGGTTAAGAGTTGTAATGATTTGTTTAAAAAAACTAGATCATAAAAATTCATTTCAGAACACAAGTCCTCACAAAAGATTCACGTTAAAGTAAAGCAGCTCAATTTTACAAAACTCATATCATTTTAAAAAAAATACAATATGCTTTTCATTTTATTTGTAAAAGATTAAGCAGATATACTCATGAACGCACATCATCAAATGTGCTACGCACCTTATAAAAAAAGTACTGTACAAGTTTTGATATTCTAATATAATAAAAGTGGCCGTGGACAAGCAGCAACCTGGTGAGGAAGTGAAATCTCGCTATTGCATAGTCGCTGTTCCTTACAGCTTGTCTTCCTTCTTTGCCCATTATTCCTGTTAAGAGAAACATTTGTAAGATCCAGACGATGTGACCTGCTAACCCCACACCCACCTACACCCACGTTTGGTTCCTGGATCATCATCATTTGCACCGTCAATGTCAGCGGGCTCTGGCCGGCCTGCCCCACCTTCAGTCCCACCTTTTGGAACTCCATCCCATAGTTCCTTCGCTTTGCTCCCTCCCTTGCCTCCTTCAAGGCACGTCTCAAGACCCTCCTCTTCGCGCCTTTGGTCACCCTCCTACCACTACCCTCCTGATGCCAACCCCCTGCTCGGGTCCCAAATCCCGATTGTCCAGCGCCTTGGGAAGTCCTCCTGACCTGAAAGGCGCGACAAAATTTGTTGTGAAAAGCCTGTGTGGTGAAGCCTCTGCGAAACCACGTGGAAACACCCACCTACACCCACGTTTGCTTCCTGGATCATGCTGACATCATTTGCACCGTCACCGACAGCTAGGATAATGGGCTTCTCTGGTGAGGTCTTCAACAATCTCACCACCTGTGAACATACAAATAGCTGCATTCACCAAATTAAAGACTTCAGCAGGCAAAGCACAATCACTCTTGCTCTGTGAACTGTTGTTTTGCCCACAAAATACAGTCAATTCACTTTACAGTATATTCTGTGAAGCGCTTTGAGACGGCTCGACAATGTCATAAGGCGCTATATCAAATGCAAGGATTATTATTATAACAGTCAACCGCCACGGTTAAGCACTCCGAGTCACTAACCCGTGTGAAGGGAGCTACATAAATGTAAGTTTTTGTTTTGTTTTTGAATGAATCAACACATACTCTGGGGCCCTCCAAGCCTTGGCTCTCGCCAACCTGCGACAAATGCTCTCCGGAATTGGGTAAGAAGTCTAGTGAGCTTCATGGAAAGGGCCGAGTCACCACCACCAATATGATAGCCTATCTAAATCAACCCTCTATCCTGCCCGATCACCATTAGTGATTATTAATAATCATTTGGTCACTTAATCCATGACTGTTTGTGGGACACTGCTGTGCACAATTGGCTGCCACGTTTCGCCCACAAAAACATACAGTCAATCCACTTTACAGTATATTCTGTGAAGCAGTTTGAGACATCTAGAAGACGTGTTACGGCACTATATCAAATGCAAGGATTATTATTATGATTATAGTGATGGCACTGCGGCATTTACAATGGTTAGATATCTGCCCCATGGAACTGACAACTTACTTTTGCTTTCTGCAGTGGTGCCATTCGGCAACATACCACGGCAGTGCAGTTTTGGGTCACCTCTATAAACAGCTTCTCGTGTTTCCTGAGTGCAATGGAAAGGCTGGTTCCATCTACCACAAAGCAGTGTTGGACCAGGTGACCCTGGTTTAATCTGGAACGAAAAAAAATAACAGAACTTGGATTCAGAAACCTACTGCAGTAATGATTCTTATACAAGAACCCAAGAGGTTTGAGCTGAAGACTTCAGGAAGGTATTTCTTTAAACAGAGAAAGTGATCAACAGTTGGGATGGGATGATTAAAGCCAGGGCACTGGACATTATTATAGATGTTGTAAGACACCTTCATGCTGACAAAGCTTGGGGTTTGCTTCAAGCACAACTGGGATAGAAACCAATTGGTTTTAAGGGTGTAGAGGTGGAGGTGTAGAGGAACTTGGTGAAGATGGTGGGCGATTTAATACTAATAATCCTTACATTTGATACAGTGCCTTATCACGTCATTGGGACGTCTCAAAGCGCTTCACAGATTATAATGTAAAGTGAATTGACTCTGAAATAAGAACGTAAGAATTTGCTAGGCAAAATAAGTCCAAGGTCCATCCAGTTCACTTTCCACCACTTTCCTGACTTACATGTTGTTTTCCAAACTATATATTATTGTACCCCTCGATATTAATAATAATCCTTGCATTTTATATAGCGCTTTTCACATCTTCTAGACGTCTTAAAGCGCTTCAGAGAACAGACTGTAAAGTGAATTGACTATATTTGTGGGCGAAACGGGGCAGCAAATTGCGCACAGCAGCGTTCCACAAACAGCCGTGGATTGAAAATGACCAATTTTAATATTGGTTTTGTTTTTTGGAGGGATTATTATTAGGCGTGTGGAGTAAGGAAACTTGCTCAAGGTTTCGCCCTCTGCCTGGAATTGAACCCAGGTGTCTCGCTTGCAAGGCGAGTGCTCTAACCACTGAGCTATAGGACTCTTAATTTATTTCAATTTCAAAGGTGGAGTTTGAATAGAGGAAGGTTCAAGGAAGTCAAATATCAATATTATTATTTTCTAACAGAAATCTATCTAATTTTGCATTGAATTTTGGTGGTCGAAAAGTTTTCTGCAAAACCTTTCTGCAAAAATAACAACTTTGGTGACACTTCTACAATTGTAGTCACAGCACGGTGCTCCTGCTGGGCTATTTGGCACAAAATACCGTTGGTTGCTTTGAGTTTGGATCAGAGCCAAGCAGGCATTCAGTCATGGCACATGTTTACTCACAACATTGAGGATCCGCACACACAGACACGGACCAAAAAAACCCAAAAAAAACTAACCACCATGTAATTTATTTCAATTTCAAAGGTGGAGTTTGAATCGAGGAAGGTTCAAGAAAGTCAAATGTCAGTATTTGGGATCAAAGTCACACAAACATCAGCTAACAAAGAAAACCGAGAGATCTGAAAAGAGTATCTTCAGTCAAAGCAGTGGTGAGCATTTTTTTTCAAGTGGCGGTGTTCAAACAGTGATACAAACGCACGTCACTGCTTTCAAATGGAACCAGGTTCAATCTCGGGTCAAATCTATAAAGGAGACTACTTAACGTGTATAGCATGAACTCACCCCGAGGTGTTTGTTGCTGCAGAGAGCTCTGAAAGTGAACCCCCTACCACACACACACACACACACACACACACACACGCACACACACGCACGCAAACTCGCACACAAAAAAAAATGCAAGAAAGGATTGCGAAATAGCTAAGTTTAGACACAGACCCTCACTTACCTTCCTTGAAGCCTCTGGAGCTGTTCGGCACAAGCGTGCTCAGTCTTTTGATTGCTAAGTTCCAAAAGCTCCATTGTCCTGTGAATGTGGCCACAGGACAAACTCACACTAATTGCCGTCTCTTGCTTGTCTCCTGTGAGCACCCACACTTTGATGCCTGCCATTCTGAGGCTTTCGATTGTCTCTTGGACTTTGTCTTGCAACCTGGAACCAGAACCAAAGCTTTTCCATTGCAAATTGATACGGACACGAATTTAGATAGGCAACTGGAATTCCATTTCCTTGGAATAATGACAAAGGGAATTTCATGAATACTACAGTAAATTACAAACCATTAACTTGTTAACCTTTCTTAAAAGAGTTACTTGGCCCACAGAGCTCAGGAAATAGCTACTTTATTCATCCCAATGCGCTAGTGACAATTTAACTGTGTGGTAAGTCATAAGGCTGATACCAATGACTTTTTCAAATCACTTTCCTGGTAGCCCAAACTCCAAAATAAAAAGAACTTGATGCTCAGAAACAGGTGCTGTTGCTCGTGACTTCCTGCCACATCACAATGGAAACTTGAACTTGTGCAAGTGCCTTTCACAGAAAATAAACGCCTCGAAGTGCTTCACAAAGTGAAACTGATCAGAAAGAGAAGTGGACTTTGTTTACTGTAATAATAATAAATCCATGCATTTGATATAGAACCTTATCAGGTTGTTGAGAAGTCTCAAAGTGTTTCACAGATTCTACTGTAAAGTGGACCAAATGCATCAAATGCTGCTCACGTTGTGAATGCTATTAATTATCAGCCGCAGCTTGCCATAACTTTATGGCACAACAGCAGAATTCATAACCTCTTTGGGAATTAATAGTAATGATCTTTGCGTTTGATATAGCGCCTGATCATGTTGTGAGACTGTTAAGCCAGCCTTAATATTTCAACTCAGCAAAAACACTAGCAACGATGACGGAACCATGCCAACGTACTTGTCTTCCACCCCTGTAGCTCCCAGCAAGTGTAGGTCGCTCTCAATAAAGTTAAATGCCTCTGCCAGCTCTCGTTCTCTGTCCCGCAAGGCCGTCCTCGCTGCATGGAGCCGACTTGCTATCACTTTGTACTCACTTTCAGACAGGTTCCTGCATGTTATACACAGTGTGCGCAGACCTCGCTGGTGCCGGGGGGAGTGAAGGGGGGAAAACAAACAAAGCATTGAAAGCAAAAATTAATACAAAGAAAAGCGCATTCAAAATAAGTTATGTAAAACATTCTGAACTTTATTATATAATACACTAGCCATACCCGTTGCAGCTAAGCTTGTAACCAAAGGATTCAATATGGAATGTAGTGATACCCACTCACAAACCGTTCAACATGGCATAAACACTGTGTGTACACCTTAATCAAAACTGACATTCATGGGTGATGAGCATGTTTAGGTCATAGCTCATCAACAATATCAGATACACCTCTAAACAATACGCATATGCCACACCCCCATGCAAGACCTTTCCGATGCGGCATAAATCACGTCAATCGGTTATTGAGTTCTTGGCTGTCACACATATACACTGACATCTTTATTACATCTTTATTAATATAGATATGATAAAAATCATCAGCTTTATCTCTTTAAAGTCAAGAATGCCACAACCAAAGACACAAAGCTTACCAAAGCAAATTGATCTACGTGCGACAGTGTTTTCTCCAGTTGTCCGCTTTTAACAAAAGGAAGAATGGACGATTCTGCTCCTTTCGTGAACATAAATATTTCTTCTGAAATAGTAGAGAACATAAGAACATAAGCATTTGCTAGGCAAAAGACCAAGGTCAATCCAGTTTGCCTTCACCTTCCTGGCAGTCACTTTACACATTGTGTCCCAAACTATATATTCTATCCTGAGATATTATTTTCGAACAAAAATCTATCTAATTTCGAAAGAATCAACACTTTCTGCTTCCATGGTCTTCCACGCATGTAAATTCCCAATGAAAAGCATCAGCTACCTGTGCGCATAATACGTTTGCTGAACGCTTACGTTCTTCAATTCACATGAACAGCATTCCAATAAACAGCGATTCATGTGTGAGCATTTTCCGTGCAATATGTAATCATATGGCGCTGCTCATTCCCACGATCCAAATGGTTTGTGACATCATGGATATGTACGTGTTACGTATGTATATATATATGTATATGCTTTATTAGCATACACCTGGACAGCTGGGTAATTCATGTAATAAATAAATCCTTGCATTTGATACAATGCCTCATCATACCAGCCAAATAGACACAGCAATGCCCATAAACAACCATGAAATGTTGGCCATTACGTAAGAATAATGTCCCTCCGTACGAAAGATGTTGAAAGGAGGATACAAAAGAATACTAGATGGTTGACTCAGGCTGTGGAAATTAACTCTGAGCTCAGACTGAAGAAACATGAGCCATTTAGGGAAGTAAAAGATTGCAGGAAATTGTAATGTGTTAATATCTGGGAATTTAAATTTCCCAATAGCAGTCAGAACAGAAACTGGAAGGGAAGTGGTGACAGAACCGCGAACCTTTGTCTGGGGGTATAGGCAAATGCTTGAGGTATGAAGTGGAGGACTGCAGCACAAGTTATATACTGTGAATATAATCCTTGATAAACTCTAAAAATTCTTCACATTGGAAGAAACTTCCTTCTGTTTTCTAATAGTACACACAGTCTTTAATTCCACCTGAACAGGCAGATGAGACCTTGGTTTAATGTTGCATCTAAAGGACAACATGTCAGACAACTTAAGTATACCTTTAGCACTACACAAGAACATTAGTCTGGAGTTCCTGACGTGGAACCTGAACCTATAACCTTCTGAGGCAAGAATGCTACCAACTGTTGTAGAAGCTCGATTAGACATACTCTAAGCTTGGCATCAATACACACAGCCTAAGATCTTCAAGTGGGTGGCCTCGGTATAACGAAAACCCTGAGGATTTGGGAAAAAGATCATTATATCTGGGTGTTGCCTACAAGAGATTCAGGAAATCGGTGATTGGCTGCCGAGCAACAACAACAACATTTCATTTATAGAGCGCCTTTCACGTCGGGAGGACGTCCCAAGGCGCTGTACAGTTGGGTCGGGACCCGAGCAGGGGGGAAATGGTCAGGGTGAGGGGGGGGGAGGGAGGGAGCGAGGAGGGGGTAGAGAGTCGAGCTGAAGGCACGGTCGAAGAGAAAGGTCTTGAGATCGGCCTTGAAGGAGGAGAGGGAGGAAGCGGCGAAGACACTGGGGGATGGAGTTCCAGAGCCTGGGGGCTGAGAGGCTGAAGGCCCGGCCAACGATGGTAGGGCGGTTGGGGCGGGGGATGTGGAGCAGACCGGAGCCAGAGGAACGGAGGGTACGGGCAGGTAAGTAGGGGGATAGTAGGTCGGAGAGGTAGGAGGGAGCGAGGCCGTGAATGGCCTTGTAGGTGAGGATGAGGATCTTGAATTCGATCCTGTGGGGGATGGGAAGCCAGTGGAGGCGAGCGAGGGTGGGAGTGATATGGTTGCAAAGCCTGGTGCGGGACAGTACACGAGCTGCAGAGTTCTGAATGACCTGCAGCTTGTGGATGGAGGTGCCGGGAAGGCCGGCGAGGAGAGAGTTCCCATAGTCCAGCCTTGAGGTGATAAAGGCATGGACCAGAGTTTCAGCGCCGTGAGGGGTGAGGTAGTGCCGTAATCTGGCGATGTTTCGGAGCACCACTGCCATTCTGACTTGATTGCAGATTGTTATATCTGCTTCAATGATCGCTGTGCCGGGGTAAGAATCAATAGGAAATAACAGGTCTCAATGTCGAGGTTATAACCTGAGGGCTCGTAATAACCAGGGATGGTTAGTTATACCGAGGTCAACCTGTTGTCATCAACAAACCTTGGGGTGTTTTCACAATCACACTCATCCGCCTTCGGTCTGGATCAAACTCTAAAGTGTGAAGTAGCTTGAACCTACAGAGTGTGAACAGACAGACTTTAGTTTGTACTGTGCCCCACAAAACACCATCTCTCACTCCCTCCTACCTCTCCCTATCCTGACTGAGATCCATCCAATCCTGGGTTGCCCACCCTCCCCAAGGAGTCAATAGGCAAGGTGCTCCAGCACCCAATTTGTGGTGAGGGGGNAAAAAGAGAAAGCGACGTGTTAAGGTTTTTTATCCTTCCTGCAAACTGACGGCATTATAAAGCGGTGGGTTAGGTAACGAGTTGCATTATGAAGCATGTCCAAATTGTCAGGTTGCCGCTGCTGTCACTTCCTGCCCGCCGGAAGCCAGCAACCACTCTCGTGAGTTTCTATAGGGTACCAGAACTAGACTTACACTACCCCAGGTCACGTTTTAACAGGGTCGGCCAACGTTAAGAACATGAGAATTTGCTGGGCGAAAGAAGACCAAGGCTCATTTAGCTCGCCTTCCACCATTCTGGCAGTCATTTGACACATTATGTCGCAAACTATACACTGTACCCTGCGATATTATTTTCTAGTAAAAATTGATCTAATTTGTTCTGGAAATAAATGACTTTCTATTTCCACCGTCTTGCTCGGGAACCTGTTCCATAAGTTTACTACTCGCTCACTGAAGTAGTGTTTCCACAGATGTGTTCTGAATTTACCGCCCTTCATCGCAGACTGTGCCCTCAAGATAAAATAGCTCATCATGGTCTACATTAAACACTCCTTTCAGAATCATAAAGACCGTAATCATATCGCCCTCAACCTTCCCTTCTCTAGTGTGAACACGCCCAGTTAATCTAATTGTTCCTCGTAGTCTAGTCCCTCAAACCCTCAATTGTGTTCTGGTTGCCCTTCTCTGTATCCTTTGAAACGTTGCAATATCCTTTTTATATTGACCAGTATTCCAAGTGCAGTCGCACCAGTGATTTATAAAGTGGCAGGATTATCCCACTATTTTGGCTCAATATTGCCCTTTTAATACATTAAATTCATAAAGTCCATTTTAAAGCTTGGGGGAAATGATTTTGTGATTCTTACAGCTTCATACTGGGTCAGAGGTCCAGGAAGAGGCTATTGAGTATGCTCTGCCAGTTTATAATAATCCTTGCATTTGATATAGCGGCTTATCACATCTTCAAGATGCCTCAAAGCACTTCGCAGAATATACTGAAAAGTGAATTAACTTTTTTCATTTTGTGAGCAAAGCACAGTAGCCAATAGTGCACAGCAATTTTTGAAGGAATTATTACCCTGAAAAAACGATCCGCCAATCGATTAACAACCAGGTGCCTACTTTGCTAGGCAAACAGAGGCATGTGGAGTAAGGAAACTTGCTAAATGTTTTGCCCCTGCCAGGAATTAAACCCAAGTCTCTTGCTTGCGAGGCGAGTGCTGTGGGTTACAGGACTATATAAATCTTTTAAGTAACTATCTCCATTCTCAACATCCAAATTGATTCCATCTCTAGGGGCATCCAGGGAATGCATTCCATACCTTCACAACAATGTGTGTGAAGAAATTACCCTTTGATCTGATTTAGCTTTAATTGTAAGATGATGGTCCCTTGTTTTGGACGCAAGTGACATGCAAAACTATCCGTACAACACTTCACTGGCTCTATTTTATGGCTTTACCTTTCAAGCTTCCCAAAAATATTCACCTCTACGTTTTCTCCTATGGTTCCTGCAAATACAATCCCAATGCTACAGTGGGAGAAAGGAAAATAAAAGGAAACATTAAATGCAAAGAAAACGTAGGCAGCGCTACAGCAGAATCTGACACTTCTGAAATAAACCATTTATGAGTTTTAAAGGAGTTTTTTTAAAAAACAAAAAGGAACTTGAGCATTGAAATGCTTCATCAATAACACAGAAAATTCCTCCTAAACTCATTTTAAGCAACTAATAATAATCCTTGCATTTGATGTAGCGCCTTATCACATTGTCAAGGCATCTCAAAGCACTTCACAGAATATAGTATAAAGTGAATTGACTGTATATCTTGTGAGCGAAATGCGGCAGCCAATTGAGTACGTCAGTCTATTGAGTTTTAAATCACTTCGAGACGCTCTCCTGTGTGAAAATTGTTATGTAAACGCAACTTGTTGTTGTTATTGGTGGTGATGGCTATGTTATATTTATGCCCCTGATTATGGATTCACTACTAAGTGGAAACGGTTTGTGTTCGTTTTTATCACTTCAGACTCTTAAACTTAGTGGATGGAAAATCATATTTATTCATCGAACATTAATTTAATGTTAGTTTATTGTAAAAGAATTGTACGGCACTACTCTTACTTGCTGGCAGCTTCTACCAGAGCCTTTTCATCTGGCGATGATGCGTAGTATTCCAGTTTAGAGTCTGAGTCACTGACTTGTCCGAGTTTCTTGTTGCTCTGAGATTCTAGATCACTGATGTGGACTGTGTGACAGAGGGACACTGCCTTCAGGAACAACAACTCTGCTTGAGTCTGGGGATTAAAGCCAACAGTATAAAAAGGGCAGAACATCTAGCATTCAAGTCCGTGCTATACAAGTACATAGGAACAAGACTGCAAAACTTACACTTTATTGACTAATCCTTAAACTTAACCAAAGCACTATGCCCTCACCGGACAGGATGACATTTACTCTTTAACTTAAGAAATAGTATTGATGTCAGGCTTAATGCTTCAGAGCGGAATGGATCAGAGCTTACAAGATTGTTTGCATTTGCCTGAAGCTCCCTGGACACTCCTTCAGCGACCAGGCGGCCGTTAGCGTACTGATATCTGATGCCGTCGATAGAACATTCCCTGAACTTCATTTCGTTCTCAGTCAGTGTTCCAGTTTTGTCAGTGAGCACATACTCCACCTAATTACAAACGACAAAGGAAGGCTTTATAAATAGGGGCATAGAGTATAAGAGTCAGGAAGTTATGATTAACCTATATAAAACACTGGTTAGGCTTCAGTTAGAATACTGTGCCCAGTTCTGGGCACCACACTGTAGGAAGGATGTTTAGGCATTGGAAAGGGTGCAGAGATTTACGAGGATGGTACCAGGAATGAGGGACCTTGATTATGAGGAAAGGCTAGAGAGGCCGGGATTATTCTCATTGGAGCAGAGAAGGTTACGAGGAGACCTAATAGAGGTTTTCAAAATCATGAGGGGATTTGATAGGTTAGAAAGGGAAAAACTGTTTCCACTGGTGGGTGTGCTGGTGACTCGAGGTCACAGATTCAAAATAGTCTCTAAAAGAAGAGGAGAGGTGAGAAAAATTGTTTCACGCAGCGAGTTGTTCGAATCTGGAACGCATTGCCTGAAAGGGTGGTGGAGGCCAATTCGATAACTACTTTTAAAAACGCGGTGGACGGGTATGAGGACGGGTTTGCAGGGTTATGGAGAAAGGGCTGGGAAGTGGGATTGACATTAATTGCTCTAATCAAAGAGACTCGATGGGCTGAATGGCCTCTTTTTGTGCTGTACAATTCTATGATTCCATAAACCGCCAGGGCACTGCAAAGCTGTTTTGACAATCCCTAGCCTGTCACCACCTTCAGAAACGAGAAAGGTATAAAGCGTTTCTAAACTGAGAATGGGGGGGGAAAAAAGAACAGGCAAAAAGGCGGTAAAATAGTGTGAAGAATAATTTATTTTGAGTACTCGCAGAGAAGCCACAAGACAAAGTATGCGCTCTGTGCAAGAACTGCTATATTCCACATATTAATAGATACTATATGATTATAATACTTGCATTTGATACAGCACCTTATCATGTCATTGAGATGTCGCAAAGCGCTTCACAGAATATACTGTAAAGTGAATTGACTGTATATTTTTGTGGGCAAAATGTGGCAGCCAACTGCGCACAGCAGCGTCCCATAAACAATTGTGGATTGAGCGACTTTTTTTGTATATGTTGTGTACAGTATAATGCCCTGGAACTAGATCATCCAGGTCATTTTACCACTTCTACATTATGTACCGGAGAGGTTGTACCATCTAGTCTCAATCACTGTTAAAGACAGTGATCCATTGTTGGCTACTATTATACTTCCTTGAAGCAATTCTCACCTGCCCAAGTTCTTCATTGAGGTCGGATGTGTTAACCAGCGCCCGCTCATTTGTCGCTTCGTTGTACAGATCAAGATCCCAGACGATGAAAAAGGAGCCCAGAAACTTCTGCAGCTCCACGGTAACGTAGAGAGAGATTGGAATGATGTAATTGTACAGCACCATGAAAGCCAGGAAATCAGATATAAACTTCAGAATCTGTGAAGCAAACATTGACAATAAACATAATAATCCTTGCATTTGATGCAATGCCTCATCGTGCCGTTGAGGCGTCTCAAAGCGGTTCACAGAATATATTGTAAAGTGAATTGACTTTGTATTTTTTGGGTAACACGTGGCAGTCGATTGTGCACAGCAGCGACATTTCACTGTACCGCTCTTTTCAAATGACACTGTGAATGTGCACACACAGGAGCTCTGATAAACTTGGCATCAAATTAATTTATATCTTTGGCTGGTGCATAAAGAGTCCCATCTCACTTGGAGTAAAGTCAATGGATAATTATTTGGGGACAGTAAGTTTGCAGGGCTATGGGGAGTGAGCGGGAGAGTGGAATTGATTTGGATAGCTTTTTCCAAAGGGCCAGCACAGACACAATGAGCCGAATGACCGCCTTTTGTTCTGTATAATTATATGGATAACAGCCATTTAAAAGGGAATTGGATATATACAAGAGGGAGAAGAATATTAAAGGGCGCAGAGGTGCCTAACCCTTTGATGGAATGCTAAACTGAGCTTCAGTCTGCCCATTCAGGTGGACTTAAAAACATCCTGTGATACTTTTGGAAAAGAATAGGTAATTCTTCCTTAATATCCTGGCCAACAGACATCCATTGATTACCTTACAATAACAAAATTACATTTGTATAGCGCCTTTCATGTCGGGAAGACGTCCCAAGGTGCTGGACAATCAGTGTTTCGGACCCATGCAGGGGGTCGGGATCAGGGGAGGGTGGAGCGCAGGGTCAGCGGGGGAGGAGGGTGACCAATGGAACAGTTGAAGAGAAAGGTCTTGAGGTGGGTCTTGAAAGGAGGGGGCGAGGTGGAGGGACTGCAGGATGGAGTTCCAGAGGGTGGGGGCAGAGTGGCAGAAGGTCTGCCTGCCAATGGCGGGCTGTCCTTATTATTCATGGATCCTTGTTGTGCATAGAGCACTCTCACTGTTGTCTAAAATAAACAGCCACTACACTTTAGAGTAATTACATTATCAAGGGTTGCGGTTTGGGGAAATTGCAACATAATCGCTCTTAAGTGGTTGCTCAGCAGCCAGGCAAAGATTTTTCCCCTGGAATGTGGTATACTCACTTTGCTACTGTTTTTCTGCTTCTCTGTCTTCTCAGTGTACCACGGTTCATCCCATTTGTGGTCAGCCTGCCAGACGTACTTCAGAGTGGTACTAAGCAGTGCTTCAAACAACAGGATCCCCAGGTACACTATTAGAAAGGTGTTCATAGACCTGGGAATTAAGACAATAATCTAAATTAACTGTTTCATAATGCTCAACAATATCACTACTATCCATCACCACGGTCTCGGAAATTATTTAAATTAAAAAATCAGGCTAACATTTCCAATGTACTGATTAATTCTTGAACTCCATTAGTGGCATTTTTGCTTCTGGATTGGAAATTTGTAGGGTTCAAGCCCAATTCTGGGGCTTTTAAGCATAGTCTAGATTGACACACCACACAATATTGCATTATTAGTTATCCCAATCATTTACTTACATAAAACATTACAACATGGGAACAGGTCAATGGGCACAAACTTTTCCATTTGAGAAGAGCCAGCGATCCTCCAGATAAATTGCTTGGTACACTTTATGACTGCTGGTGGGACCTTGCTGCACGCAAACAGACTGCGGTGTTTGCTAATAAATACTTATTTACAACACTTAACGGCAACTTCCTGTGAAGTTCTTTGAGATGTTTTGACAATAAACATCCCAAATCTATGCAGAGAAAGCCAGCACACATTTTAAAACTCTGGAACACTCTTCCCTCAATGCCTCAGCTTTGCCCCATCCTTCCCCATCGATAGGTCACACCTGAAGACCTTCCTATTCAACTATGCCTACAGTCACCTCCCCCTGGCTTGGAGTTAGGCTCTGCCACTGTCAAGCGCTCTGAAGCACTGCCCTGCATGAGGAGTGCTTTATAAATTCAAACTGTTATCGTTTAAATTGCTCTGGTTCTGTACCAAGTCGACTCGTTTGAAATAATAAAATTATGGCACTTCCTATGAAAACAAAAACTTACTTTTCCACTGCTGAACGCTTCTGCGATTTGAATTTGTAATTCAGAGCCATCTTGGTCTCCATCCCCGTGTAAACAGCCACACCTGGAGAGCAGTACCACAATTTGCATTAGGCACAGAACGCCATCTTCAATCACCTATGATTCTATTAAGCAGAGGACTAAAGGGCTTTGATACGAGCAGGTCTAGCCAATTTTTACTTGGGCTATTAATAATAATTGCATTTGATATAGTGACTTATCAAGTCGCTGAGGCATCTCAAAGTGCTTCACAGAATATGTAGTAAAGTGGATTGATTGGGTACTTTGTGGGGGGAACACAGCAACCAATTGCGTACAGCAGTGTCCCATAAACAGTCATGGATTGAGTGGCCAGTTGAGTTGATTTTGAGAGGGGGTGGGGGGGGTGATTATTACCCCCGGAAAGTGATAGGCCAATCGTGTAGCAACCAGGTTCCTACTTACTGCTAGGTAAACAGAGGTCTGGAGAGTAAACAGAGTAAACAAGAGTTCTTTTTAAACCCTATGATAACACTCTGAAATAGACTTGTTTTATTAGAAGAGAAAGTTCAACAAAGCAACTCAAAAATAAAAAAAAGTACTACCGAAAACTTCCTTAGTGTTCTTCAGGCTTGCTCCTCTCAGGAGAAGATTCTCTGGACCCAAGGGCCTGAGGGATGCACAAAGCAAATTGACACAAAGCTTTAATCCAGACTGTGTTCAACCTCACTAAGAAGAATATTTAATTCTTGCATTTGATATAGCGCCTTATCACGTCTTTAAGACGTCTCAAAGCGCTTCACACAATATACTGTAACGTGTAGTGACTGTATATTTATATAATGAATATTTGATCCATTATATGAAAATAAACATATTCCGGTTACATGCACAATTACTACCAGCTACACCAACCGTAACCTCACTCCATCATTCCCTGAGATCAGGAGAGTGAGATACAATTTTACAAAGTATTCACATTTGCTAATCTGGATTTCCCCGACTAGATTGTTAAAAGCCATCATACCTAACAATTTCTTCTGTCAGGGTTTTTATTGACATTCGTCCCACAAATCTGCAAGGGAAACGGTTTACAAAATCAAGACGAAATACAGAAATTTCAGGTGTCATTTCCAAACAAAATCCTCGTGGAACCAAATCACAACATTGTCAAAGGCTTGATCTGCTCACTTGTACAGGTCTGGCTCTGGCTGCTGACATTCAATGACAGCTGACAGGGTGTCTAGTTCTGCAAAGGTCTTCAGCAAAGACGTCTCCTTGATTGAGATGTGAGTCTGCAAGAGGACGTAGCACACAATAAGAGGGCGGAGTGGATAACACTCAGCCAAAAAGCCTGACTCCTTCCACAGATTAAGTACAACTCACTCCCTCATTGATTCTGAACGCTTTGAGTGAAAGTAAAGCATCTATCAACCTTCATGTCGCTATTCGTCACATCCCTCATCCCCTCCGTTCCCATCATCGGCAGCTGCACTTTAAGTCACTATGCCCCGAAACGCTGGAACTCTTTTCCTCAATCCCTCTGCCTTGCACCCTCCTTCCTCATTTTCAGGTCGCACCTCAAGACCTTCCTTTTCGATCGTGCCTATGGTCACCTCCCCCTCCCTCTGGCTCGGCGTCATGCCACTGTCAAGTGCTCTGGGGTACTACCCTGTGTGAAAGTCGCTATATAAATGCAAGTTATTGTTCTATTCATCCCAGGTATTTTCTTCCAAAAATGTGTCATTTCTTTGGTCTCTCCAGCAACACAAAACACAGCATGCTGTGTGGTTTTCCGGTATCTTATCCTCACTTGTCAACTAGCCAAGAGCCAAAGACATCAGCATTACATGGCAGTGGCAGGGAGGGGGTTGTAATTACTGACCTCAGGTTAGCAAGAATGTGGCTTTTACTAAAGCCGCAGGCGATTCCCAGCTTGGGAACATTTCAAAGAGGAAAATGTTACTAAATTACACCTTACTCTCGCTGGGAGGGCAGCAATCTACTTGCGAGTAGAGATTTAATGAAGAAATTCTTTTGTGAAGAAAAGTGATAGGGTTTGATAGAATGTCCCAACAGGAGAAAAATCCCTGTAGCGGGTGAGCAAGGAAGTTTATTCAGACAGTAACCTTCAGGTTTGTCTCCCCATCCAAGCTGGCTGTGGTGACGTAACATGTCCCCAGTTGCCGATCTGATGACAGCAGGACCAAGTCTGCAGGGAACGTTTCATCTCTGGTTATCCGCACAATGTCACCAACCTGTGCCAAAAGAAAAAATTGCTAACCAGTTCACAGCAAGAGATGCTGGGATCTCTCTCACTCACACGACACACAACGAGCCCAACCCGGGGCGCAACCCGCGGCCCGCGCCCAACTCAACAATAACAAAATTACATTCGTATATCGCCTTTCACGTTGGGAGGACGTCCCCACACCCAACTCAACCCACACATACACCACACAGTTTAATTAAACAAAAGTTGCCTTTCAGCCACAATGGTACTGGAAAGCTTTGTAAGCAGTGTATGCCAAAGAGAATCTACAAGGTGTGATACAGACACCTATTGACAGCCAGAAAAAGCACCTGCTATCTTCCTGTTCACACCTCAACTTTCGCAAACAGTTTAAAAAAAATACATGAGCCATTCTTTTGCAAATATCAAACTACTGGCCTCAGCACAGTCATTATGGCAAAATTAATTAAATTAAGCCGCTCATGGTAATCATTCCTGTCAATGTATTTGCCGCCTTCATTATTTGTCGCCTTCATCATTCGGATATTTTCCTGGAAATGCTGCATCCCTGAAGATCAATCACTTATTTAGCCTTTAATGGGGGCGGGCGAGGGAAAGAGACTTCCTACAGAAACGTTAAGTGCCAAGTGACGCATTTATCCATAACTCCTGAGCAACCCAAAAAAATGCCTGGGAGAAAAAAAAACCACCATCAATCTTCAAATGCTGGGAATATGAAGCAATAAAAAAAAGACTGTTGGGATTAAAACTCTAGGGAGCTCATTGGTTTGGCCTTAGGTTTTCAGCTTGGATAAGAACATCCACATTGCATTAGCTGAAAACACATTGAGAGCCAAATAAAGAGTCATATTTTCAATACAAAATAGGTTTTAAAAATGGCACTTCAATCGGATTGCTTTACAGCTTGTCAGGCAGACGTGCAGTAATTTAGGTATGTAACAAGACAGAACATTTCAGTCACATTTCGAAACACAAGTTTAGCACAACTTCTAAAGTGTCGTATCTCTGAAAAGCAGTAACTAAGCAAAGGCATATTGTTAGTTCTCTGGGTGTCAACAAGCCAAGCATACAGAGCTTAAATTGAAAACCCTTGCATTTTGTTGAGATTTAAAACCATTCCACTTTCACAGATAAATCCAGGTTTGTTGTTTTCTGAGAAATTTTTGCAAAATAGTTTTTTCTACTAAATACACTTGCATTTAACTCGCCAACTTCCTCAGTAAGGCAGGTGAAGCCAAGACTTACTCTGATGTTTTTTGAACTTGTTTGAACGAGGCAACCGCTCCGAACCACAAACACAGGGGCACTGTTTACTTCGTTGTCAGCTTTATGCCGTAACCAGTCTTCATAACCCTGAATCCACGAGAGAGACAAATCAATCATCTAATGGAGAGAAGATGTCAGAATTCACAGCAGGAGCACGTAGCGAAAAAGTTCTGAAAGGATACAAGTTAATTTTGCCCACGCATTAATTGTATCTTCTGCCTCCATCAGCAGATGAGTCATGCCTACCAAATGAGCACTGGATGAGGGAGGGAAGGAGAGAACGAACAGTAATGATGTGGCGTGTATAAAGTAGCAAAGACTGGCTGGAAGTTAGCCTGGCTCCATATCAGCCACAGATGATAAAAGGCACAGCCATGAGTAAACACTGACATGCGAATGTGAATGAATGAGACCTTAACCTGTTAAGCCATCTCTTACCTGTTTGACGGCTGTAACTGTAATTACAAAGAGCAGTGGCAACCCACTGGTGATGGGGCTGGTGGGCGTATCGATCATAAGCTTGATTGGAGATGAAAGTATGAAAAGGCAATGTTAATGTCCAACAGATTGAAGGTATCAGCGTACAGTAGAACTCGCACAAGTCTGATCTGTATAAATCGCCGAAGTCATACATCTGCCCAAATCCCATTCAAGAGTTTATATATGCAAGTGACATAATTTATACTTTGCATAAATCGTATTAAATGTATGCTACCAACTGATAAAACTTGAGAGGTTTAACTGTATAAACATAAGCAGCTGCTTTGAAATGGACAGCATATATTGCCGTTTAAAACAAATGTTTTAGTCCACACTATGAGCAATAAAAGCAAGCAAAAAATCTACCATTTGTAATCTGAATTCTGTCCGGAGTTTACAATCCCAATAGAATTAAACATAACCTCAAAATTATTACCAATACGATGGTAATATTATAATAATATACTACAAAGCCAGCTGACCGCAGCGTGGGGAGTGCATTTCTTGCATCACCCTCCCCACCTCCGCCTCCCACCATCCACTGCCAGCCCCTCACTTCCCCTCCTGGTAAGAATCTCAACTGCGATGTGCCTTGGGTTGTCCTCCCGACGTGAAAGGCACTGTACAATGTAATTTGTCATTGCTGTTGTTAACTGATTGCAAGGGGTAAATGTTTTCTGTATCACAATTCTCATTTTGATACACATCAACATTGAGAGTAATCACAGTAAAGACCCTGCCCTCTGAGACTGACTAACTGCTTCCCCCCGCCCCACATTTCGTGTCCACTTGGGAGCTCCACATGGCAGAGGCCTGATCTCTAATTGGCTCCCGATGCTGTCAGTTAGTGTCGGAGGCTGGATTTCTAAGCCGTTTGGCATAGGGTTATTTATCCTCATAACAGCAAAAAGCAACGGATCTTTGCAGAAGCAAAGATCAGCAGGTCATTTGACGGACTGTTCAAGGTGACTTCTCATGCACTCAATACATTTAAATGGTAAACATTTTTACTAATACGCAATTTTAGTGACACAATACAAAATTACATTTATATAGCACCTTTCAAGTCAAGAAGACATCCCAAGATGCTGGATAGTCAGGGATTTGGACCCAAGCACGAAGGTTGGGATCAGGGAGGGTGAAGGGCAGGGAGATTGGCCGAAGGTATGGTTGAAGAGGAGGGTTTTGAGGCATGCCTTGATCATTCATAGTAAGGGAGGGAGCGAGGCGAAGAGAATGTGGGATGGAGTTCGAAAGAGCGGGGGCAGAAAGGCTGAAGGCCCGACTGTCGACAGTTAAGGTGGGCCGGGTGGGGGACGTGGAGCAGGCCACAGCCTGCTGAGCGGAGGGAGCAGACAGGTTGGCATGGGATTAGCAGATCGCAGAGCTGGGAAACGGCAAGGCTCTGGAGGGCGTTGAAGGCAAGGATGATGATTTTGAACTCTATCCTCTCGGGGATGGGGAGCCAGTGGAGCCGGGTAAGGGTGGGGGTGATGGGTCACGGAGCCTGGTGCGGGAGAGGACACGAGCTGTAGAGATCTGGATGATCTGCAGCTTGTGGAGGGAAGAGTTGAGAAGCCCAACAAGCAGAGAGTTAGCATAATAGAGCCTAGATGTGATGAATACATGGATGTTTTTGGCGGCAGTAGCGGAGCAGGGCAATGTTTTGGAGGTGGGGTAAGGCAGAACAGGTCATGGTGCAGATGTGACTCGCTTACCTGCACAAGAAAAATGACAAGAAAGTAGAAGTTGGCTATTCTTCGGAACTGTTCAAATAAATTCTTTGGAATAAAATTCCATACGGTGTACTGAAAAAAGGAGGGAAAAAGTTAGAATACTGGCAAACTGCAATTAAATAAATCCAAGAGGCAATGGCTAATGATGTCAAATTAAAAGTTCAGGATTGTTATTAAAAAGAGCGCATAAATCGCTTGCAAAATACAGTAAATTGCAGTGCAGCACGCTGAGACACCCCTACTAACGTGAAAGGCACTATATCAATTCAAGGACTATTATAATAGTGTTCCAAATTAAGGCTCTTTCTATTGTCTCCCCCTTGATCTGATCAGCGAGGGGGAAGCTCCTAGTCTGAGCTCCTGACATTCCCAATGAAAAAGACTCGATCAGGATCTTGCCACATGGGGAGTGGTGTGGATTTTAGAACTGTTTGCAGTAAATTGGGTGCCTAGTAACTTTTCACATGTGTTCACAACTGGCTTTTATTTACCAGTATCTTGCAGCCTTATGCTTACTTCAAAGCCTGATGTGGATAAATAGACATGCCTCTAGTTGGCTTGTGGATATCCGGCATTCCACTGTATGCCTTTATTCATAACTCAGCACTTGAATGTTTACATCATGGTTGCCCATCATGGTCAGGGTGAAGATTTTTCACTGCTCAATATTACCACAGGAAAGCCCAAATTTGTTTACATTTTCAGACAGTCAATGATAAAATAAATCTATGGATTTTTATAGTTTATGCAGAGAGATTTGGGCAGAAGCACACCTGAAACACCAAACCAACCATACACTTCCTGTAACATTAACCAATTATCATCAAGGGACAATCAACAACAACAAATTACATTTGTATAGCCGCTTTCATGTCAGGAAGATGTCCCAAGGCACTCATCTGTTGTTCTCATCAACTACGACCCACTTGATATGGATTAAATATACCAAAAGCAGACATGACAAGGAATCTTGCTTTTTATTTTTGAGCACTTTATCATATCAAAATATCCTAAAGTGCTTCACAGTAATTACTGTCTGCCTGTATTAAGCGCAAATGCAGCAGACCTTGTGTTTGAGAGAAAGGTCTCACGAACAGGAACAAAGTGTAGGACAACACTCAGGAGGTTGGCAGAACAGCAAGAGAAACTCCCATCTCTTTTCAGAAGTGTCATTGGATGCTTCACGTCCACCTGGACAGACGGAACCTCGGTTAAACGTCTCATCCAAACGCAAAGCCAGTAACTAGTGGAGTCTTGTAGCTCAGTGGTAAGAGCACTCGCCTTGCAAGCGAGAGACCTGGGTTCAATTCCAGGCAGAGGGCGAAACCTTGGGCAAGTTTCCTTATTCCACACAGAGCCTAATAATAATCCCTCCAAAAACAAAACAATAATATATTGGTCATTTTCAATCCACGACTGTTTGTGGGACATTGCTGTGTGCAATTGGCTGCCGCGTTTTGGCCACAAATATACAGTCAATTCACTTTACAGCATATTCCGTGAAGCGCTTTGGGACGTCGAGAAGACGTGAAAAGCGCTATATCAAATGCAAGGGTTATTATTATATAACTAAAATTATAAGCCTTATTACCTTGGATGATACAATCCGGTTGTCAGCGAACTTTTGAGGAATGTAATGGTTTTGTGGTGGAAAGTGATTGGCAATGTAAACTGTCCTTGTATCCAGCTGATTGGGTGGGTCGATTCCCTGAAAGAGAAATCAATATTTTGTATCTCGCATCAATTAAATAGATTCTATAAAAATCTAAGCAACACTCGTTTTAGAAACCTTAGGCAAGTTTCCTTACTCCATACGGTTCTGTTTACCTAGCAGTAAGTGGAAACCCAGTTGTTAGTCAATTAGCGTATCGCTTTCCAGGGATAACATTCCCTTAAAAAAATGCAGTCACTCAATCTGCCACTATTTGTGGGACACTGCTGTGTGCATTTGACTACTGCGTTTCACCCACAAAATATATACAATCAATTCAATTTACAGTGTATACTGCATTTTGAGACGACTCAATGATCTGTTAAGTTGCTATATCAAATGCAAGGAATATCATCATTATTATGTAACATTATGTCAGCTCACGTGATTGATTTCTCAAATAAAACAGAACAGGACTGCATTGACTACTTTAATCATTCTACTGTATTTTGCAAAGTGCTCTTAGAATTGTGGATCAAGGGCTCTATGCATTAAGTCAGCTCTCTAAAGAGTACCCTACACTCTGAAATTACATAAGCCATCTTAGGCAGTCAAGGAAGAGGCACGGATTTAGAATGAGGTGGGAGTTAAGTGAGTTTAATAACTCAATGCAATTTTTTACAATGACTGCAAGCCTACTTAATCATGTCTGCATCTCTAGCTAATCTGCTGAATCATCTCAGCCAAACATTTTTAATTACATTTTCTCAAACCCATGCACCAGAACACTCCCTTGGGTCCACTTTGGTATAATTTGTGTTAGTGTTTGTGAACCAAAATGCAAATAAAATAGCGATCCCAGAGCACAAATAACTCAAGACACGATTGATGGGTTCCGATAAACTGATAGGACAAGGGGAGTGGTTGGGGGTTCAAAAGACTTAAGTCAACTAAAACTAAATTAATTTTTAATTCAATTCCTAATTCTGTATAGTTCCATATTTGGCTCATTAATTTGGGAGGGGGAGTAGGGGGAAAAAACAAACAAAGTACAAGACATATCTGTTCATTAAAACTTTGATGTGCAACCGTGAGCCATTAAACTGCAAAACCGACTGAATCGGAAGAAACCACAACTTTCCATGTGAAGTTTCGACTACAAGAGGTCACATGTACAATTGTTCACAGGAACGTACCCCTGGAAAAGTGAACTGAAAAAAAAGATTTGATGTCTTTTCTTCCCTCTGGGTTCACGTCCCATCTGAAGACCTACCTCTTTCACTGTGCTTTTGGCCATTTCATTCATCTCAGTTTCCCCCCACCCGCCAAACCCTTTCGTAAAGCACTTTCCTTGACCACAGAAATATATAGTCAATTCACCTTACAGTACATTGTGTGAAGCGTTTTGAGATGTCTCAACGATGTGATAAGGTGCTGTATCAAATGCAAGGATTATTATATTAAAAGGCGATATACAAGTATAAATTGTCACCACTGTTTCACCTAGTTGTGAACTAGGCTAACAAACTGAACAAGTTTGCCAGTTCTGAGAGAAAAAAAATATCTAAGTCGATGACACTTGGGAGGGTGGAGAATTCTGGATTTGCTGGGTGTTGACCAAAGTTAAGTATTGCAACACTGAGACGAGAGTCAGAGAAAATTATTGTAATGTCCTAATGCTTCAAGAATGTACTTTCAATCTCTGCAAGCGATTGCATCAAAGTTTCACAACTCCTTTGATTTCTTAATATTCGAGGCTGATGTCAAAATGAGTAACTATACTGATACAACAACCACAAAGATCATATAGCGCCCTCCACGCCGGACGGTGTCTCAGAGGGCTTCACAATAACGAATCCCGGGGCCGCGCCAGGGGGAGGGGGAGGAAGGTGACCAAAGGCGTGGTCGAAAGGAAAGGTCTTCAGCAGAGACCTGAAAATAGGAAGGGGGGGGGGGGGGGCGAGGTGAAGGAAGTGAGGAAGGGAGTTCCAGAGCCTCGGGGCGTAGTGGCTGAAAGCACAGCCGCCATAGGTGGAGCAGAGGACTCGGGGGACTTTCTGCTTCATGAAAAAAAAGGAACTAAAGCGTTCACTGACAACTTTGGACCATTGGGCAAGTTTCCTTACTCCACACAGAGCCTAATAATAATCCCTCCAAAACTAAAAACAATAATAAATTGGTCATTTTCAATCTACGACTGTTTGTGGGACATTGCTGTGCGCAATTGGCTGCCGCGTTTGCCCACAAATATACAGTCAATTCACTTTACAGTGTACTCTGTGAAGCGCTTTGGGACGTCCTCCCGACGTGAAAAGCGCTATATCAAATGCAAGGATTATTATTATTATTATTATTATCCAATGTCATCCAGGGTGGTCCAACTGGTGGCCTGTGGGCCGATTTCATCCTCCACCTCACCATTTCATCTTGCCCACCCGCTCCCTCCATAACCTGTAAATGTTGTTGTGTTTCTGGAAGGGAAACACAAAGCAAATTGCTAATGCAACGTTTCTCAAATAGAGCATCCATCCCTCAGCAGCCAAAAGGTTGGAACACCCTGCAATTTCACTTCTGCAAGATGAATAATTGGTGTGACTAGCAGGTAACAGTCAAGTTCAGCCCTGCTCTACTGCACCAGGATAGGATCAGTAAAGCAAAAGACTAAAGGGCAATTTACGAATTGCTATTGTAAAATAATAATAAGCTTTATATCCTCCATGTCGTAATCCTCTCTAACAAATCACCTGTCATATCAGCATGATCAAATTCCTGCTTAAGACAGCTCAGTCACACCACAAACCTGTTTCTCTGTCACACACACAGCACGGTCACACTATAGCACTAACTCCCCCTTTAAATTAGGGCGAGTGTGTGGAGAGAACACCAGCCGAGGGCTAAATGGTGCGTTGCAGTGCTGTCACATTCCACTATAATCATCATCCATCATATCAAAGATATGTTATGTCAAATATCATATCGTACAATACACACACTATCTCCCTATGATCATGAGTTTCGTTCTGTTGCATTGCTAAAACAAAATAGGAACTGAAAGGCAAACAAAGGCACTCAACCAGGAGAAATAAGATAGGTTAAAGGCTACAATCTGACTGCCTGGGCTCCCGCAGTAAAATCTGGTCAAGCTGGATTGCAAAAGTTAGTCATCGCTGGAAAGCTACACCTTCAAATGAGCTGGTACAGCCGTGATCAAGATTCCTTGCCAAGTAGTTGTGCCTTTCCCTTTGTCATATTGTCTGCATTGAAATTCTCCACCATCACTTGGTGTAGATCCTAACAACCTCCTTAACTGTGTCTACGGTCACCTCTCCTTTCTCCTCAGGCTAGACGTCAAATGACGCCATTGTTAAGCGCCGCAAGATGCTACCCCGAGTGAAGGGAGCTGTTTAAATATAAATGCAAGTTGCCATTGACGTTGGAAACTGACTACACAAATACAATACATTAAACACTGCCACAGTCGCAACTACGAATGGAGTCCTGTAGCACAGCGGGTAGAGTGCTCGCATCGCAAACAACAGGACCCGAGTTCAATTCCTGGTTAGGGCAATACCTTAGGTAAGTTTCCTTACTCCACACAAGTATCAACCGGTTGTTAGTCGATTGGCGGGGTGCTTTCCAGGGTTCCCTCAAAAAAAATGCTTTGAAGGTGAGGACGCTGCTGTGCGCAGTTGGCTGCCGCGTACTGCCTTCAAATACACAGTCGATCTACTCTAAAATATATTCTATGAAGCGCTTTGAGACATCTCAACATTGTGATAAGGTGCTATATCAAATTATTATTATAACAATAATCAAGAACCTGCTGTATTGTCCAATGCTGTTGAGTGATTTTTCTGCCAAGCTCTTACAGGACTACAATGACGACAACTACAGTATTTCCAATATAAAGTTAATCAGCAAAGAATTTCACACTTTGCCCACGCGCTCTGCCTAGTATTGAAAGTATGTGTTATAATGCTCATTTCCGTTCTTGCACTACCAGAGCTTTTTCATACCTATCTTCATTTAGAGTGTTCTGTTCTGGTTTCTGCCAACACCACGATTGCCCTCAGACTGCTGACAGTCTGCAGGCAATCGTGGTCCTGAAACGGTTTCCGTGCAAATTTTCCAGAGCCACATTGTTAACAGAGGATACAGTTCAAGATCCTGGTCCTCATCTTCGAAGCCCTCCGTGGTCTTGCTCAAGACCGTGTGGAGGGCTTTGAAGGCGAGGATCTTGAACTGTATCCTCTGTGTGATGGGAAGCCAGTGAGTTGGGCAAGGATGGGGGTGATAAGGTCGCGGAGCCTGGTGCAGGAGAGGACATGGGCTGCAGAGTTCTGGATGATCTGCAGCCTGTGGAGAGAGGAGTTGGGGAGGCCGACAAGCAGTGAATTTGCATAGGTGAGCCTCGATGTAATGAAGGCATGTTTGAGGGTTTCGGCGGCCTGGGGTGTGAGACAGTGGCGGACCGGGCGATATTGCGGAGGTGGGGGTAGGCAGAGCGGGGCATGGCGAATGTGGGGTAGAAAGGATAGGTGAGGGTCAAACAAGACCCCAAAGTTCTGGACTGGCTTAGCAAGGTGGAGTGTGTAACTAGGAATGGTGATGCTGTCAGCGCCTGAGGTGAGGAGCAAATCCGGAGAGCCTCGGTCTTGTTGACATTCAACTGAACAAAGTTAGCTCTCATCAAGGATTTGATGCCTGACAGACATTCTGTCAGCACAGCAGTGGTCCTGGAGTCAAGGGTGGAGGCAGACAGATAGAGTTGGGTATCATCCGCAAGATCTTCCTCTTCAACCGTGCTTTCGATCTCCCTGCTTCCCCCCCACCCCAATCCTCAGCTCAGATCCGTAACTGTGTCTGTCCAGCACCTTGGGACATCTTCCCGATGTGAAAGGTGCAATACAAATATAATTTTGTTGTTGTTGTTAACAAACAACACAATTTCCATCCAAACCACTACATTGAGTTTTGCAAGATCATTAAGTGGGGACGATTTTCTGTTACATTTTTAGTTCTGCCACTTTTCAACAAGAAACTTGTTGTCAAACACA